AAAAAAAATGGTCAAAAAACTTTTTGGTCAAAAGAATTTTGGTCAAAAAAATATTGGGAAAAAAAATTTTGGTCAAAAAAATTTTTGGTCAAAAAAAATTTGGTCAAAAAATTTTTGGTCAAAAAATTTTTAGTCAAAAAAATTTTGGTCAAAAAAATTTTTGGAAAAAAATTTTTGGTCAAAAAATTTTTGGTCAAAAAAATTTTGGTCCAAAAAATTTTCGAAAAAAAAATTTTTGGAAAAATAAATTTTGGTCAAAAAAATTTTAGTCAAAAAAATTTCGGGAAAAAAACTTTTGGTCAAAAAAATTATGAGAAGAAAAATTTTAGTCAAAAAATTTTCGAAAAATAAATTTTGGTCAAAAAAATTTTGGTCAAAAAAATTTTTGGTCAAAATAATTTTGGTTAAAAAAATTTTTGGAAAAAATTTTTTGGTCAAAAAAAATTTTGGAGAAAATTTTTTGGTCAAAACAATTTTTGAAAAAAAATTTTTGGTCAAAAAAATTTCGTGAAAAAAACTTTTGGTCAAAAAAATTATGAGAAGAAAAATTTTAGTCAAAAAATTTTCGAAAAAAAAATTTTGCGAAAAATAAATTTTGGTCAAAAAAATTTTGGTCAAAAAAATTTTGGTTAAAAAAATTTTTGGAAAAAATTTTTTGGTCAAAAAAATTTTTGGAGAAAATTTTTTGGTCAAAAAAATTTTGGTCAAAACAATTTTTGGTCAAAAAAATTTCGTGAAAAAAACTTTTGGTCAAAAAAATTATGAGAAGAAAAATTTTAATCAAAAAATTTTTGGCCCAAAAAATTTTCGAAAAAAAAATTTTGCGACCAAAATTTTTTTGACCAAAAATTTTTTTGACCAAAATTTTTTTGACCAAAATATAAATTTTGAAATTTTGAACCAAAAAATTTTGAACCAAAAAATTTCGGCCCAAAAAATTTTAACCCAAAAAAATCTTGGTCAAAAAAATTTTTGGTCAAAAAAATTTTGGTTAAAAAAATTTTTGGAAAAACAAAATTTGGTCTGAAAAATTTGTAGTCAAAAAAATTTTGGCCCAAAAAAAAAATTTGGTCAAAAAATTTTCAAAAAATTTGGTCAAAAAATTTTCAAAAAATTTGGGAAAAAAATTTTGGGAAAATAAATTTTGGTCAAAAACTTTTGGAAAAAATTTTTTGGTCAAAAAAATTTTTGGAGAAAATTTTTTGGTCAAAAAAATTTTGGTCAAAAAAATTTTTGAAAAAAAATTTTTGGTCAAAAAAATTTTGGGCAAAAAATTTTGGTCAAAAAATATTTAGGGTAAAAAAATTTCGGTTAAAAAAATTTTTGGAAAAAAAATTTTGGTTAAAAAAATTTTTGGAAAAGAATCTTTGGTCAAAAAAATTTTGGTTAAAAAAATTTTGGCCCAAAAAATTTTGGTCAAAAAAATTTTTGGAAAAAAAATTTTGGAAAAAAAAATTTTTGGAAAAAAAATTTTGGAAAAAAAAATTTTTGGAAAAAAAAATTTGGGAAAAAAATTTTGGTCAAAGAAATTTTCGAAAAAAAAATTTTCGGAAAAAAAATTTTGGTCAAAAAACTTTTGGCCCAAAAAATTTTGGTCAAAAAAATTTTCGAAAAAAAAATTTTGGTCCAAAAAATTTTGGTCAAAAAAATTTTGAAACAAAAAATTTTGGTCAGAAAAATTTTCGGAAAAAAATATACTTAACTATTTAATTTTTTTACCTTGAAGTGTAACTAGTATACAAACAAAGGTGCTAACTAAAACATACGGCTGCTCTTGGCAATTGGACGTTTATCGCCCAACTGGACCCCCCACCGCGATAAGGTGTTAGCCACGAGGGGGAGGAAATAGAAAGAGGATAGAGGGATCGATTCCCTCTGAGATGAACAAAGACTTTGAAATCCGGTTTTCAGAAGTCTGACATATGTCGCAATCTACCCATCATTCAGGCTGCGATCGCTAAACGACTCCGGACCCGGTCTTCCGAAATCGACGAACACGATCGCTTCTCACTCGTTCACACAGTTTTATTTTAATTTTACAATTATTTAAAATTGTTCATATAACTCGAAGTTTATCAATTTGTGTTTCATAGTTTTTTCGTGCAATTTTTGTGTGTTTTTATGTTTGTTTTTTCAATTTATTTGTATAGTGAGTTCTTTACATTTGTTTATGTCTATTTTTGCATTTTCACTTTTATACACTTTATGATTGTAGTCAATGAAATCTTGTAGTTGTGGGGTACAATTCAATATTCACTAAATCCTCACAATACATACCCAACCTCACAACTAAAGTTTGTCGGTTTTCAAAAACCGTTTTTGAAAATCCGCTTCGAAGAACTCCGCCGCCACGCCCTTGCTCGGTCTTCTTCTCCGGCGATTTTGAATGTTTTTTTTGAGTTTTGTTAGTGTCTCGCAGTACTTGTCCGAATTATATATAGTGAACCCTTTAAGCATTAATTCGGTAAGCAAGACACATTTTCGGTCCAAAAACTCGATGGCCTCCCGCTCCTTTGCTCGTCGTGAACGTCTGTGCGTCCTGCGGAGAACTCCCTGCACGATTTGAGAACGTGCTGGACGTTGATGGAAATTTTGCCATAAACTTCTTCCAACTGTCTATGAATTTCAGTAGGTGTAAGCTTCTTCACGTTTAAAACTCGAATGACTGAACGGATTTCACACCTGGCGGTGACGGCGATTGCGCGCTCCATCGCGGATGGCTGTTAGATTGGCACTAAGCTTTGCAGCGATCTTCCAGATAGGATAAACAATGAAAATGGTGTTGCAGGATTTCCCCTAGTATCTCGCGCGGCGAGTGTACAGCGTTGGGAACCTTATTTTTTACATACCCCTCGTATTATATTAAATAAAAAAATAATTAAAACTTTTGAAATTAATTAATTAAAATTGCTCGGAATAGAAAATACTCGAGGTGTAGCTTAATTGTTTTCAAAACTAAAATTGGTAGTAACAAGTATGTATTAACATGTACCTTTTTTTTAAATTTAATAAATGTTTTTGATTTAAAAATGTATTATTTTTATTTATTCGAAAACTGTTCTTTCACTGTGCTATTATTTTCATTTCTATATGCGAAAATGATGCATGAATAACAAATAATTATTTTCAACGTTATTTAATCCAGATAAACTATTATTTTTTTGTTCTACTAATTAAAATTAATATAAATTTGTTTACTATCCATAAAACTGAACAATAAGTAAATTCAGTCAAATACTGCTTTAAATCGCACTAAATTTACGGATAAATTGTTGTTATTACAGAATATTCGAGTAAAAATTAATTTTCTATATAAAATTCAAAAACCGGCTAAGACCGGTTTTCTGGTAATATTAAAATTCGAAAACCGGTTTTCTGAAATGTCGGTTTTTGTACAAACCCTACTCACAACGTTGTGTTGTCATAGAGGACAACATTCGGCATAATGCATCATGAAATGATTAGAAAGCATCAAAATCAATAAAAATAAAATGTAATCTCAATTGGATTAAATGTAATAGAATTTAAATTTGTATTTTATTATTCTGATTTCAAAGATCAAAGCAAACTTTTCAGAAACGAATAGGAAATGATAAAAGTTTGCAGTAATTTTGCACACATTTCCAAAATGAATAGCTGCTTTAGAGATATTCAACCTTCAACATGCTAATTCTCGGAAAAATATTTGGTAATTGTATGAACACTACAAAAAGAGTTATAACAATTGTAAATATGTTTTCAAAATATTCTAGTTTGTAATATTTTCCTTACAAAAAAACGCAATTTTTTCAGAAACTAAGATATCGAAATGAGACTTTTTGAAAAAGATGGACTTAATCATATATTATCAATTATTGTCATTGATTTCATTATATTATTCCAACTTAATGAAACACTATTTATAAATATATACTCTTATTTATTAAATAGCTACTTGCGAAAGCAAATTATTACTACGTTCACAAAATTTGCGCATACCACATTAATTTTGTTTCATATAGCTCATTTGGCGCATTAGCAAAATTATGACTAACACAATATATTCATGAGTAGTTATGCTCTTCAAAGTCAAGAGTTATACAACCTGAACGAATTAAAGTGTTTGATCAGTATTCATTGCATATTGAAAAAAATAAATATATATAAAAAATGCTTTGATACCACATAAATATAATTCGATTTTGGTAATTCAGAAATAATAATACTGAATTCTACAATTTAATTCATTTTTAAATCATATTCTTCTCATCACTGGCTGTGATGACCTATTTGTTATTTATCCGGGATGAAAATTTATAAAAAAAATCACTTTAATCAAAATTCGATTATATTTTAATTGAAAATATGTCGTATTGACAACCATTTTTTAATTTGATAAAAGATTTGTTAGAGTCATTTTTGAATTCATAATAATTTACAAAATTTACAAATAATATAATATATATAAGCACAACAAAATATGTTTATATATTCACCTAAATCTTTTAAACAAGCTAAGTATTCTATGCATGTAAAAATATAAACATATAAATCAACACAAAAACAAATAAAAATTAAAAATAGAATACATGTTGCCTGCAAAATTTGAAATGGTAACCTTACCTTTTAATCATATACATAAAGACACATACATATATATATATCTTCCCATGTGTATATTTATAAATGTTTCTAAGCGTGCACAAATTTTATTTTTCCTTCTTGTCCAAAAAATATTTATCTCTAAATTTCATTATGGATCTTCTAATGAAATTCCTTGTATCCAGGAACTTAGATCATTTGTTTCACTACATTCCATCACTATCTCTTGAGGCTTATGTGAGGATATAAGCATTTGAGCAGCACTTCGACCACTTAAATAGGCCCCATGTACCGTTGAATAAAAATTACTATGAGTATGTTCTCCAGCAAAAAGTAACACAGGCTGTAAGAGAAATTATATAATTAATTAAAACATTCACATTAGCTCAAAATGCAAATATTAAACTACAGAGTTTATATATACAAAATATTAATATACAGAGTTTTTGAAAATAAAAATTATATTTTTGTAAGCTATTTTACCAAGGCGTGTTTAGGATTAGCATACAAGGGTTGAGCTAAATTTTCTATATCCAGTTGACAAGCTCCGACTGCCATTGCAGTATATGATCCTCTGCTGTAAGGTTGTTTATGCCAACTGGTGCTAATGATGAAAAAATAATTATATTTTATGAATAAAACATAATTAGCAATTTAGTAACAACAATGTTTCTACATGTAAGAAATTTCAAATGGTTATGAAACTTTCTGTATTTATTTTCCTCATGAAAAAACAATGTATATTTAATCTTAATAATTACTGTATATAATTTCAAATTTATTTTAGTAACATAAAGGTTCCGCCAAATAACTTTTTTTTTTTTTTAAACTGTACAAATAAAAACCACTGAATATTTTCTCAAATATCTTTTTTTATTTAAAAAACAATCCTTTCAATTAATAATAGAAAATAATTTCATTCAAATGGCTGCCTTGGCCGGCCATTGTAATAGTTTTAAAAATGTTAAGTCCGTATCACACGACGCTTGTTTTCTGGGCTAGATAATATGCTTGATTTGCTTCACTACATTTTGTTTTGTGGTTTGTCACATTTGAAAATCTAGCAAGCTAAAACAAATCACACTCAAAAATCAAGCATGCAATGTAGCCAGCCCAGAAAACAAATGTCATGTGATTCGGGCTTTATTCTAGGGTCTATGATCCATCCACAAAATTATCGCATATTCTATTATCAAAATCTCGCTTGCTGGAAACAAATGAAGATCGATACAACGTCATTTTGCCTACTTGGCAACCAGCATGCTAGCGAGCAGATCAAAAAAGCAACAAAACAAGTGTCGTGTGATCAGCGCTTTAGTCAATAGCAAAAAAATGTTAGATGGCAAACCCGATATAATGAATAAAAATGACATTTAATAAGAAACTTAGATCGTACATTATTCTTTAATACCATGAGACTCTAAGAAACAGTATATGTAATTCAAATAATTTAAAAACTTATTAGTTTATAAAGAAAAATATGTATAGAATACTACTAACCATATACACTGCTTTGGCTTTGGTACAAAAGGATCATTTAAAAAGCACCTAAGAATCTTTGTACACTGTTCTGCAATTACATTGTTTGGCAGTGTTTCCATAAATTCTGCCTCCTTTCCAGAAATCCAGCCTAATAACACTGTTTCCGATAATTTTGAGAATGAATAAATTTTCTTGAACCAATTGTTTTTCATATCGCTTTCACTATCATTGCTGTCATCGTCCCATAATAACATTACTTCAGATATATTTGGATTAAGAAATGGTCTATCATATTCTAAAAATATTTTATCTACAGTTCCATATAATAAGCGTTCAATTGCCTCATGTTTATATAAAGGTAATTTAGGTGAAAACATTGTATCAGCAGATTCCTTCAAAACTCCTAAAGGTATAGTACATATAACATGATCAGCAACAAATCTTTGCCCATCTTCACAAGTTACTTCCACAGGAAGCATATGCAATGATGATTCATTTTCACAAATAACTGTTTTGCCTGAGTGATCAGATTCATCACCAGTGTCTTCATCATATTCTTCTATGGGTTTATCAGCCCATTTAATAAATGAAACTGGTGTATTAAGTAAAATATTATCCTTAGGAATATGTTTTGAAACTGGCCCTAATATAGTGCTGTATCCTCCTGGGAGAACAATATTACCCCCTTGTAATTCAGTGTAACTACCCAATTCCAATAAATCTATTTCATGCATTGAATGACATCCAGTGATGCAGGTTTCTCGTTTTAATAAACAATCAAATATCAATTGTCTTAATTTTCTATCTTCTAAGTTTGGTATTTCATTTAAATACATTGCAGTTTCCAAACTGATATGTTCTCCAACACTATTTATATCAGGAGGGGGTAAATATTGACTTAAAAAATATTCCTCACAACGTCTGAGGAAACAAACATAGGCTTCATAAATTTCTTGAAGAACATCAAATGCAACCTGTTTACCATCTTTTGTGACAGCAATAACTTTATGTGGTTTTGGTATGTTTATAATATTAATGAGACCGTTTGCCATAGCAAGTTCATACATAGGATTTCCTAGCACCCCATGTATCCAGTTTGCCCCAAGCTCAATTGGTTGATTACCTACATTAATTCCAATAATTCGGCCTCCAATCCTACTTCTAGCTTCGAGTACTTTGAAGTCAGTTATACCATTTTTAATTAAATGATTAGCAGCCGATAATCCAGCCATACCAGCGCCTATTATCAAAATGCGCACTTTATTATCTACATTTTCTACTGCACGCCCATCCTCCATTATCTATAAATTAGAATCAAGTTTAAAATAAAGATTTGATAAAATTAAACAACATAAGAAAAGATAATGCCATTCATACACGAACATTTGCATTTTTCTGAAGAACATACATATTGGTTAAAAATATTAACAATATTTTAATGTGAAACATTCTATACTACTAATATCCTATTTTTATCATAAGTTTTGGGTAATGTAATTTGTTTGTAACATTAGTTAATGTTAATCAAGACTTACAAATATATTACACTAAATAATTAAACAATTAGTCTCACATTATCGAAACATCTTCTGTCAAAAAGTTTAGCATGCTTCTGTCATTTTGACGTTCTGACATATAACCAAGGGGTAAACATTTTAATACACAACCAATCAAGGGGTACGTACTTGGTATAAGGATCAAATTCATGATTTGGCCTCCACTCGACTGAGGGCGCAGCGAGCGAAATGTCAGTGACATATCCTCCCATAGATAAAAGAAGAGTATGTGTCCTCCTGTCACCAGTGACTTCATCGTGATCATAGATAAAAGAAGAGTATGACCCTATGACCGTAATTACATGGTAATTACTCCTAGATGGTAATTACGTATTCCTCCACATTTATAAATGCATTTTGAACACGTTTGTATCTTAAATATTACATTTTAATTTTTTCTTTAGCATTGTGTTAATAATACAGATATGAATATATTTACATATTTTATATTGAAGTTTAATATATTTGATATTGAAAGTTGTAACCATATGTTCAAATATTTGACAAAGGAAAGTTAACTAATATTTTCACAATGAAATTTTTTTATCTTGCAGTATCAACTGATTTTATGAAGAAAATCATTATTTTCACTAATAATAGATACAGTATCGAAAGATTTTATGAAGAAAAATCACTATTTTCACTCGCGAATTTTAAGTAAAATTTAAATAAACCAATCTTCAAAACAGGAGATAAACAAACCCAAACAACTATATACCTATCACTGTAACTAACGTCCTCTCAAAAGTATATGAAAAAGTCATCAAGAAGAGAATATTACAATTCTTGATAGAAAATGAATCAATAGACAAATACCAATATGGCTTTTTACCAAAATCAAGTACTCAATCCGACTTAATAGATGCCACTAACTTAACAAATGAACACTTAGAAAACAATTGCAATATTTATAGACTTAAAAAAAGCCTTCGACACTGTAGACCACCAAATTCTTTATCAGCAACTTAGAAATATGAGACTTGAAGGTACGATGCACAACATAATTCAAGACACCTTATCTGAAAGAGAAGTAAGGACCAAAATAGGAAATTGCTTCAGCTATAAAAAATTGGTCAAATGCGGAGTACCACAGGAAACAGTCCTAGGTCCACTATTATACTTTATATATATTAACAACTTAAAGGACAAAAATTTATAAGGTAGATACATAGTGTACGCAGATTACACCATGATTATATACGCTGATAAAATTTTGAAAAAACTAGAAAAAAAAATCAATGATGACTTAAAGAAACATACAACATGGCTGACAGAAAATAAACTCACTATAAATACAGATAAAACTAATTATATATTTTTCCGACGTAACAAAATTAAAAAAATAGGCAATATAAAAATATTAATCAACGATAGTGAAATAAAAGAAATAGAAAAAACTAAATATTTGGGTATGATTATAAACCAGAAACTAGAATGGAGTGACCAAATTGAAAAAATCAAACAAAAAATTGCAGCACTTTCCGGAGCCATAAAAAGAATACGACATCTTGGAATTAAGAACAAGGAACTAATATTAAAATCTCTTATAATGCCGAATATGACGTACGGCATCACGATTTGGAGTCAAACAACAAATAAAAATATAAAGACACTACAAAGAATGATAAATGAAGCAATAAAATCAACTTACAATTATCCCTATCTCACACCTACAAAAGAACTTCTACAAAAGACAAAGAACATACCACTACACAAAACAATAGTAATAGAAAATGTATACTAATATTCAAAATAAAAAGTAAGAAAATCAAAACTTGCACCACGATAGAGACAAACCAGGATATACCCGACCATCAAACGAGACAAAACCGAAACTGAAACATGCAAAAACTAAGTACAGTAGAAGTTCCTTGTTCGCGCTTCATATATACGCGTTTTCGCTATTTGCGGCCAAAAAAATTGTGACCTAATTTCTATATTCGCGGATTCCAATATGTATCAAACCCTAAAATTCTTTGTAAATGCCGTCATTTCGAACTAATAAAGAAATCTTTGACATAGGCCGCCTGCATTGCCTTGACCGTATTCGCCGCTATCGGTGTTTTTGAAAATGTAAACTAATAAAATGAAAACAATCTTATTTAATACTCAATGAATAAAATAGATTTTTAGTAAAATTTGGCTCAAATCGACATTCCCAGCCCATTGAAGAAGAGCTTCTTACAAGCAATAGTGAAGAATTAAAAATGAACTGTGCGATTTCTATATGGGAATTGCCGTATATGGGAAGTGTTATTTTTAAGAGGCAAGTTATTGATGTGACTGTGTATCAGTTTGAATTAAAGAAGCAAAACAATATTACAAAGTTCTTCAAACCATTGCCTTAGCCTCAACAAAATTAATCAAAATGTACAAAAACTATAATTAAAAATTATATTTGTTTTATATATTGCTGCGAACTATTATGTGATATCAATATCTTAAGTATAACAAACCTCATATTAAAATTGGTTGGTAATAAGTTTAGTACCACATCTAACATTAATATAAAAATTTTATAAATTGACTTTTATTTTAATATATTACTGCAATTAATATAAAGTTTTATATTAATGTTAGATTTAATACTAAACTTATTACTAACTAATTTTAATATGGGATCTGTTATACTTAAAATATTGTATATTAAATAATAGTTCTCAACAATATTTATTTTTCTTTATTGTGTCACCTTGGAACGTAACCCCTACAATTCCATATAAAATGCCATCCTGTATTTGTGGATTTATTCATTATTTGCAGATTATTTATAGTGCAGTAAACGGAGCGTTTTAGGTCTGAATTTTTTTACTGTGCTCCGAATTGAATGAAATTTTGGAATTAGGTTCATCTTACCCTCAAGTTCAAAAGTGAAAACAATTCGAGTTGCGCCATCACCCCCCGGGGGGGTGACACCCCCTTCTCAATTGTGTAATTATATTTTTTCAAAATAACATCGGAAATCGATAGAAGAACTAATTATAAGAAAAAATGTCTCTTATAGTTTTTTAAAAAAACTAATACTTTTCAAGTTACTGGCCACTAAAGATTCATATATTTTTGGCCTTTTTCTTCGTTTTTTTGCAAATATCTCTTAAAATATACATTTTAACGAAAATCATGTAATGAACAAAATAATGTCAATAAAAATCTTAATAAATCGGTATTACATAAAGTGTTCTAGGAAAAATATTAAGCAAGATTTGAAAGAGCAAACTCGTTTTTCATTTTGTTCAAGATTTAATTGTTGTATTTAAAGCCATCTAGTGTCGTGGTTTTACATTTTATGCATTTCGGTGAAATTGGGTTTTATAGTGCTCAATATAAGCTTTAAAATGAGTGCTGTTACAAGTTTTTTGCGTGTAAAATGAGTGAGCTATCATGCAAATAAGAAGCATATACGAAGTTTTTTCCTTTTAAATCATACGGTTTAATGAGCGCCATTTCCACCAGAATTAAAGTAATTCACATTCCATCTAGAATTCACTTCATTATAGACATCTTGATGGATTCTAGCAGATTCACTACTTTAGTACAAACTATTTTCAGAAAACTCAGGATTTTATAAAAACTTTTTTTCCAATTTGCGCGGCCGCGCAGTCTTTAAACATTCATAACTCTGTCAATTTTTGTGTGAAAGAAAAATAATAAAAAACAATAATAAGACAGAAAGATCCCTTTGATTCTTATCTATATGCTTTTATACGTATCTTTTATTCTTTTTGAAATATAATGAAAATAATTTCGATTTTTAAAAAAAATGGAAAAAAAAGTTTTTATAAAATCGTGAGTTTTCTGAAAATAGTTTGTACTAAAGTAGTGAATCTGCTAGAATCCATCAAGATGTCTATAATAAAGTGAATTCTAGATGGAATGTGAATTACTTTAATTCTGGTGGAAATGGCGCTCATTAAACCAAAAAATTTAAAAGAAAAAAACTTCGTATATGCTTCTTATTTGCGTGATAGCTCACTCATTTAACACGAAAAAAACTTGTAACAGCACTCATTTTAAAGCTTATGTTGAGCACTATAAAACCCAATTTCACCGAAATGCATAAAATGTAAAACCTCGACACTAGATGGCTTTAAATACAACAATTAAATCTTGAACAAAATGAAAAACGAGTTTGCTCTTTCAAATCTTGCTTAATATTTTTCCTAGAACACTTTATGTAATACCGATTTATTAAGATTTTTATTGACATTATTTTGTTCATTACATGATTTTCGTTAAAATGTATATTTTAGGAGATATTCGCAAAAAAACGAAGAAAAAGGCCAAAAATATATGAATCTTTAGTGGCCAGTAACTTGAAAAGTATTAGTTTTTTTAAAAAACTATAAAAGATCGATTTCCGATGTTATTTTGAAAAAATATAATTACACATTTGAGAAGGGGGTGTCATCCCCCCGGGGGGTGATGGCGCAACCCGAATTGTTTTCACTTTTGAACTTGAGGGTAAGATGAACCTAATTCCAAAATTTCATTCAATTCGGAGCACAGTAAAAAAATTCAGAGGTTATACCCTTTTTCCCTCTCCGTTTACTGCACTATTAGTCACCTTGGAACATATCCCTATGATTCCATATAAAATGCCGTCCTGTATTTGCGGATTCTTTATTCACAGAATTTTTACAGAACGTATCCCCCGCGAATAAGGAGGTTTTACTGTATATATCTCCCCCACCATAGTTTTCTGCTAGTTAGTAAAATATACAGCATTAATAATTTTGCTTCAATTTGAAGTTTATTCAATAATGATACTAAAATAACATCTTATAAAATATGTTATATAGCAAATAGTACAAATTAAAAGGGCAACATCAATAAATTATTTGAAAACAAAATGATAAAATTTACTGGAACTCTATTAATTTAGATAATCTGCGATAAAGTAATGCACCAATCAATATAATAATAGCAATTATTATTAAGTGAAATCTGAAAAAGTTAAAATATTGTTAGCAGAAAATAAAAATGCAAAAATTGAAAATAAAAATAAGTGGCTTACTGTGATAATAAATTATTATTATGTTCAGCAAATTCATTTTGGTCGGGGACTAGTATTGGTTCTTGGATAGCATTGACCATCATGGAGGTATCCTCAGGCTCAGTGAGGTCCTAAATATAAAAAATTATATCAGTATACAAAGCAACAATGTGTTAAACCTTGAATTTTGATAAAACTGCTTACGGTTTTATTGGTACTATTCATGTCAGTACCAAACTGAGCATTAGAAATGCCGCATTCGGAACAAATCCAGTCTGAAGACCTAGAGATGGTTCAAATTGAGATTGGAAATTTATAGCAAGAATATTAAAACATACTTTTCAGCAAGCAATTTTCTTTCATCTTCAGTATAGTCTAATGAACCTATAGTTCCTTTTCCAGAAGTAGGCATAAAAGCTATTAAAGCCAACAAAGCAGTCCTGATCGACCAAGATGGTTGCCATGTTTCCGGATGATGGCCCGAAATAGACAGGCATATTTTTTTGTTTACTTCAAATCTTCCATTTGGCTAAAACATTTAAATTAAGTTAAATAAGCAAGATTTTGGTAATACTATAAACATTACTTTAACAGTAATTCTGATGCAAAAGCTTTTGCTACAAATAATAATAGCAAATAGTAACTTGCACTCAAAAATACCATTAACGTACATTGACATAATTTCTATAATCGAACTTAAATAACAAATCCAAGCAAATGACAACTTAATAATGAAATATCAAATTTGATACATATCAACTGTTGAAAACACAATGAAAATATTTCGAATAGTAAATGTGACACATAGGACACTAACTGTCAAAAATATAATATATGGTGGTTGCATAGGATATGTCGAGGGCAAAAGTATTCGACCATGATAAAGACCACCATCAAATTCGGTCCCTGGCTGCCCCCTAATTGTAAAATGCCACTCAAATAAATTTTCTTCCAAGGGAAAAGCATAATATTCTTCTGTTGCTGATGACAACTCCTTTGCCTCACGCATCAGCCTCTTTACAGCTGTAAAAATTAACAGAATGAATGTAAATAAATTAAATTATATGGCTACAGACAATTAATTAATTCATTACCTGGACTTTTAATATTATAACTAGTTTCCATTGTGTATAAAGAGTTATTATCACAAAAACATCGTCGTTTCAGAAACAAATTATATGTGCAACTCCAAATAAAGTTGTTTGGAGTTCAAATACATGAAACATACACTTAGTAAATTTATTTTTATGACATTTTAGATAACAAAATATGTGTTCCACAAAACTGAAACACTGGTTGAAACAATAGAATTATAACAACATCTGATACTACTATTTGCGAGGTCAAAAGCTGTCACTTGAAACTGATATTAATTTAATTAATGAATTTCTGTGTAATCACATAATTATTTATGTGGGAAAAACTAAAGCTATAGATAATATTTTAATAAATTACTTAACAAATAAACTTGTAAAACGTTATTTTCAATGTGCAGCCCTCCGCAAATCAGCATAAAAAAATATTTGTATAATAATATATTATATGGGCCTTGCACTATTATAAAAGAATGTTATTCTTGTTTTTATCTCGAATTATTTGCCTGTCAAACTAAACTTTGAACACTTTTAACTCTCATCTGGTAATACATTTCTTTGTTGTGACAATCGAGTGAATGACAGTACAACTACAACAGTACTGTCACAGTACACACAAAACAAAAAACAGTACAGACATAATTGGCTGCGCATATTAATAAACTCTGTCAGACTAAAAAGATTCTTGTTATTTATTTATTCAAATATGAAGTTCCAATATAAAGAAGAACACGCTTTTGAGAAAAGGAAAGCCGAAGGCGAGAAAATTAGACGCAAATATCCCGACCGTGTTCCCGTAAGTAAATTTTTTTTTATTGATTTTTTGAAACAGTAAAAATATGTCACAGTATATGATGTTATCCTGAAGTTTTTTTTGCAATAAAATATCCAATATTTATTTATATAAACGCAATTTTACTCAAGTTTCCTTTATTTTGAAATAAAAACACATTCAAGGTCATTGCGTCATTCATATCAATCGCATATGTTATATATGTGATGCAGCATTTTTTTTATAGGTCATTGTAGAGAAAGCTCCAAAAGCCCGCATTGGGGACTTAGATAAAAAAAAATATTTGGTACCTTCTGATTTGACTGTTGGACAATTCTACTTCCTCATACGCAAAAGAATACATCTTCGACCTGAGGATGCTTTGTTTTTCTTTGTTAACAATGTTATTCCTCCAACATCAGCTACCATGGGCTCTCTCTACCAGGTACTTGTAAGCTATATAATATAATTATTTGTTTTGACACTTTTTTTTTGCAGGAGCACCATGAAGAAGATTTCTTTTTGTACATAGCTTATTCAGACGAAAATGTTTATGGAGCTTAATATAATACATTGTATTATTATTATTATGATTATTATTATATATATATATATATATATATATATGCATAATGTGAAAATTTGATGTTAATAGATAAATTATGTGGTAAAAGATAAATTTTAGTGAAAACAACTTAATATAACTTTTTAAAATTATGATTTATATTATGAAAATATAATACATTAATGTAATTTTAACTTTAATAAACCATTATATATGTTTTACTGAGAGTTTTTACTTACTATTATACAGGATAACATAACGCATAATAATAGGTACACATGTAGTAAATAACATTACATATATACATTGAATTCGAGACACATTTTATATCTAAATTGAATTCAAGATAAATATAAATTTTGTTTTTGATTATGCAACATCAGGATTGTCAGCTGCAACATTTGTTACATCCTGACTTTGCAATTTACCGTAACGACTATTTCTGCATACATCACGAATATAATAATATGATTGAAGAATAAAAATATTGTTATACAAACACATACCAAATATCAAACAGGAAAAGCCAATAATCTGAAAAAATAGAAAATATGCTTCAACTTCATCCAGGTACAAAAATTAAATTAAGAATAAATACATAGATAATTCTGTAGTTTTCTATCAATACGTTGTTTGTGTCTTGCACAAATAAACTACCAAGGACAAAGATTATTATATGTGGAGAAATAAGTAAGTTCAATCAATATCAATATAAAGAAAAATGTAATCCAAATCAATACCATATGGCAGTAAATTTGCATTTTTTTTTTATTCAAAGTATAATATTAATGTAAAAATTAATAAAAAGTTAAACTTTGAAATAGTAAGGCAATATACCTGAGGCCAATAAAACAGTTGCCACTTAACTGCCAATGCTACAACCCAAATAACAACAGTTCTTACTGAATCTAAAACCATACGTGTTGTAGCTGAAAGTTCCTTTGTTACACTTATTCCTGCAAAATTGAAGAACGCAATGGAAACTATCATTCCTAAAAAAAATATAAATATTAAACATACAACTTCTTCAATGAATTTACATTCTGTACACTTGTGAATACCTAGCACCGCAATCAATAGTTGATAATTGTTGGCAATTTGAACGAAGGCATCTGGCAAATCTTCCAATGTTCCATGTGCATTATTATTAAATGGAGATCCAACTTTGATAAAATAAAAAGGAATTTGTAATAACACTAAAACCATAAATCCAAAAAAGCCTAAAAAATAATTTTTAAATTATCAATTATAAACATAATCATATGAAAGTAATTTGTATATAACAGCATAATTACATTCAAGGAATTTCAACGACAGTTAATTTGAAATTTCGTGATTATTTGAATGAATATCTTACCCTCCCAGCCAACTGCTTGCAAAGCTGGAATATCTAAATCTTTAACAAACTTTTCTTCATATACCATTTGAATTGCTGTAATAATTTGTGCAGTAATAATCAATAGATCACCAGTTAGAACTGCATTTTTACTATAAGTTGATGTGTTTGTGAAGAAAAAGTCTGTTGCTCCAACAACTGTCAACCCCATTATCACAAGCCAAATACCAATCCACTCTCTTATTTTTAAAACACGATTCAAGAATGCCACACTTAATATGGAAACAAATATAATAACTGATCCTAAAATATTTTTAAATTTAAGTTTTAATATATAACAAAAAGATTCATATAGCAAGAATGAATTTTTTAAGTGTCCAATACCTCTGAACATCTGAAAACTAGAAGCATATGTCAAATTCAGTCCAACATACATTGTAGAAGTAGCAATCATGTCACACATTGCAGGAATAAATAATATTAAGGGGCTGAAATTCCTATTTCCCTTAACAAACTCATTTGTATCAACAGAACCATCCTACACAAATATTACAAATTATATTTAATATATATAACTCGATTAAGTTCAATTTGTCATTATGATAATGCGTCGTTAATTAAATTTGATTAGTAAGTTATGAACAAACCTGTCTTCTATCGAGAATATAATAGATTATTTTAAAGACAAATAGACATAACATTTCACCCAGAAACATTGCACAAGCTTGAACAAAGGGATGATCAAATTCACGAGAAACACCATCAGAGCCATTCGAGTGTAAATTGTCAGCCCACCTACATTAAAAAATTACAACTATAATATATATATATATATATATATATATATATATATACATGTATCCATGAACTAAGAAAAACTTACTTTGTACTTAAGGTATTTATGGAACCGGTAATTACAAGAGTCGTTGCTAATAAAATTTGATATTTTGTCCAAGCCATTTTTAATAGAATATTGTAGCAATGTAAATGTTAAATCACTTTTCAGCGTATATTACTACGAAGTTTCAGTTCAATAATTCTGTATCAATATATGAGGTCAAAACTCGGAATAATCTCTTAATAAATTCATTAGTTTACCAAATACATACATAATACATTTTCATATATGAATAGTTACTATATACTACACGGATAAGTGGATATCGCCCATTACATTTTATAATATAATAAACGATGTTTATTGACAACTCATATCTTATTGTTGTAGTTCATGATTCATCAAATGTCAAAACACTCGGGTCACGTGATTGCCACGTGACCAACTGTTCAAAACAGGAATGGGAAACCTTCGACTTAGGTCGAACCATACTATTCTTTTATCTATGGGGTAGAAGATTCCTTCTTTGATAAAACTAAAAAATTGAATGTGAAAAACTAGCATTAAAAATTAAAGGTGTGAAAAACCTTCGACGCAAGCCACATATTATAACTGAAGCAATAAAACTATGAAATAAAAAAAAAGTAAAATATGAATTCCGAATAATTAAAAAAAATAAGTATCACATATACTATGTTCAATATAGATAAAAAAAATATAACAATAATTATAAGGGGTATAACCATAGATTTTATAATATTATAAGGTCTTCTATGAGTATAACACATAAATCAAGTTATATAATAATTTTTCAGAAAAATCTTTATATTTAAGTACTAGACGCATTTACAGTTAAAAAAATCCTATGGAGAAGAGTGTATTATTAGAAATTAGTTTGGTAATCGGTTTTTTATTTAATTTTGCATAATGTCAATATATGTCATAATTGACGGCCGAATTGTTATAATAATCGGCCGAAAATCGGAAATGAAATTTTTTGCATTTCTTCACATTTTGAAGGTTTCTGAACATTTTGGCATACCTCAGAAAAAATGGATGTGCGTGTGTGTGTGTTTTGTATGTTCGCATTTTTTCTTCCACGCTATCGGGCGCACGGATCAACCGATTTGAATGGTTTAAAAAACTTTCGATTTCTATTGATAAGGATATGTGCTGATTAGTTTTTGGCAGAGACATGTCTAGCCGTTACGGAGATATGGAGCAAAGAGTGCAAAAAATACAAATCGAGTTTTCGAGAGAACGGAGTATCCGATTTGAATGATCTAAAAGACATTCAATTTGTAATGATTAGAAAAAGAGGTGGTTAGTTTTTAACAAAGGCAGGTCCAGCCATTTCGAAGATGCAGCGCTAAAAGTGCAAAAAATGGCAGTTTTTGAGAGAACTAAGCGTCTGATTTAAATGATTCAAAGAGCTATCTGCTTGTTTTAACAAAATAATTGCTTTTGGAAAAAAAATCTTGTTTCAATTTTTTTTTCAAAAAAAATTCTTTTTTTCGAATTTTTTTATTTTTTGTATATCGAGAATAATTCAGATTTTAATTTTAATTTTGACTAAAATTTTAATATACTTTAAACAAATAATTTCAACTTTGCAATTCAGTTTATATAATTCTTATAAATATTAGACAATGTTACAATATTTATAATAATCTATTTGAAAGCATTTAATATTCCTCGAACATTTCGTTACGGTACGGGAAGTTTCAGCAATTTGCCTTAAGGCACGATGCCATACACCACTAATTTTCTTTTTTAGTCACTTCTAAACTTTATGAATTATTTTCAAAAATAGTCAAAGGTTTGGTATCCCTGATCTAATCTTTGGAGCCTAGACAATAAATAATGGTTTGGAGTGTCAGATAAAAATTCGATAAGTTTTCGTACGTAATTAAATGGTCTGCATTATAAAAGAAATGATTAAATTACCGAAAATTAACCGATGATCTGAATGAACATAGTGGAAATAAAAAATAATATTGCCACGAAATAATAAATCATGCGGACCTTTAAAGAAAATTCATCGTTTGAGTTCTAACAAAAAAATAGACGCAAATGTTCAATTTACGAAAGTAACGATAATATTATGAATGAATTAAACTATTTGCATGTAACTTTAACTTGTTTGAATCATTCGTTGTAGATCTAGAACCCAAGCGAAATTGATTGTGATATTTGCGTTTATATTTCTTCTGTACAATGAATTCGTTGTTTACATTCTTACGTCGATCGACTGGCCTCCCTTTATGCAGTGCGGTGCTCGGAACAAAAATTGCCTGAAAGTACTATTCGTAGCCGATCCTCAAATAATAGGAGAAGTGCACGAAGATAAATGGTTCAGTGGCGTAGCTCGCTGGGACAGCGATAAGTGAGTTTTTCATCAGTGCGCCTGCAACAAATCTAACACCTATAAATTGTTAATTCATAGGACTTTTATCCGTAATTTTTGTGTAATTATTGGTCTTACATCTATTATAGAAGGATGTACACAACTGTCTACTTCTGTGGATATGGGTTTAGGACTGTGGCTTTGTTTGAGTGTTTTGGATGCTATTTTAATGTATAATGACATAAACAAGTTGGTAATTGTTGATAGTTCTTAATAGACTGACAATATATGCACAAACTTTTCTGCATATCCTAGTAATAAACGTTTCTATCTCTGCATGTTATTTTCTATTTCTTTATAAATCAGAAATTTCACTGTGATCGGTCGAAAAATTGCATTTTCATATTTAATGAACTCTTTCATAGGTCCTAAATGAATAGTGTGTTTATTAACTTTTTTAGTCCCAGTCACAGAGATTATTGACTCCTAACAATATAGTGAAAAAAGAAAATAATGCCATATTACAAGTTACATATATTTATTATCTTGAATGTTGATTTTCAGCCAATCGTCGATATGAAAGAAAACAAATAATAAAATATTTATTTATACTTTTGACACGGATTGTGTGTCTTCATTCAGCAACCCTCTTTGAAACTTTTGTTAATACAGTGAAGATTTGTGTAACATGACATTACACAAATCTTCAGTTTAAATTTAAAACTAAAAAAATGTATACTTTATATTGTTTATTTTCTATATGTTAATTACCAAAAACAATTTTTTTTTATTGTTTTTTCTGGTTTGATACTGTATTATCAAAAATTTCAAAAAGGGTTGCTGAATGATGTCACACAATCCATGTCGAAACATATAAATGAATAGTTTATTATTTATTGTTTTCTTTTATTTCGACGATTGGCTGAAAATCAACATTCAAGAACATGTCTCAACATTGAGCAAAAAAATCTAAATCTTATACATTTATTATATATATGTAAATGTATACACCTACCCCCATTTTACACAGTATATAGGTTCTAGAATAAAATGCATAACTTGAAAAATTCAGTCTCATATGCAAAAACCGTGCTAAACGAAAATCACTTTAAAAAAGCCCTTTTTGTCAGTTTTCAATGTAATGGATAACAAACACATTGAACAAAAAATATATAATATCAAACATATTTAATAAATTATAAGAATATTAATTTATTTCAATAATAAATCAAATATAAAAAAATCTTAAGGTAGAAACCACTCTTCAATTTCTGAAGAATAATCACGAATAATCAAGAATAATTTGCAATATGATATTTAGTATCTTAAAAAATTGATTAAATATTTCTGTCTGATTCTTTCCTGTATGATACAACTAGCTCACTTAAAGTAGAATCATAAAAGAATTTCAGTATGTAAAATGATATATATATATATATATATATATATATATATATATATATATATTAATTTAATATTGCATTTTCTTCATAGATAAAAATTAAAATTAGAAATTCATTTAAGTTGATTGCGATAGATAAGACTTAATATTCTATTTGCGTTTTGTTTTTCAAACAAACTAGCTTATACACACATAAAATTAGTTTTCTGAAAATATTCTGAATTATCTCGAGTTTAATTATATGTTCTACATTGAACTCTAAAATACCTTACAGCAGACATTAATATATCTTATACAACATATTGAATAATCCAAAAGTAAGTAATAATCCTTTTTAAGTAATAATCCAAAGCGATTGAATAACACTGTTACAAAATATCCTGAATAATCGCCAGTTTAATTTGAATGAAATATATGCAACTTCAATAACATTAATTCGACCAGCTATTTTACAGAATTCTGAGTCGAAAGATTTACCTTCATAAATTTTATCTAAATAAATTGCCATTGTTCTTTTGTCCATTTGTCAATTTGTTATAAAAGTCTTTGATTAATTAAAAAAAAAAAAAAAAAAAAAAAAAATTGTATAGAGTAAGTGATACAATATACAAATAATAAATAAGATTTGGTTTGGATTTTATTCCTTAACATGCCCTCTGTACTGACTATAACAAAAAAAAACACTACTCTTGGAAAATATTCTTCTATAATATAAGTACGTAATATTGAATATTACCAATTATGTGAATTTAAAAATATATATATATCTCATTGCAGTTTTCAAAAAAAAATGTACCAATTTGGATAGAGCAATAAAAGTGAGGCGATATTGATTATAAATAGCACTAAAAAGTCCATGTAGTAAAGGATTTGGCTAATCACAGTGTCGTAATTTCTTAGTAATTTTGTGCATGGATGCTTTGTTAATGATTGTACATTTCTCGTATTGAATGAATTTATTAATTTTTCGAATTTATTATCATCAATCAATGAAAGATAAAATATAGAATTTTTAAGGCATTAAATACTGTACACATCCCTTTTAAATAATTTATTTCAATTTTGTAGTTTCATCAAGAAGAATTTTGAATTGGCCGTTGAAAAATTTAAACCTGAAGCAGTAGTATTTTTAGGCGATGTAATGGATGAAGGAAGCATAGCTGGGGAAGAGGAATTTTCAAGATATTTATCTCGTTTAAAATCGATTTTTCTAGAGAATGATAAATTACAAGTATGCATATATATATATTTTCATTATGATAAACTAATTAAATGGGATAAGATTCATAAGAATTATTTTCTAAAAAAAATTATTTTAATGTTTCAGTATATTTGGATTCCTGGAGATAATGATATAGGTGGTGAAGGATTTGAAAAAGTTTCTGCAAGTAAATTGCTACAATTTCATGATACCTTTGGTCATGAAAATCCTGTTCCTTTAAATGGGATTAATTTTATTAAAGTAAATCGTTTGATTCATGAAAAGCCGCAAGGAAAATGGACTGAGAAACTTAGTAATCGCACCAATGTAGTGATAAGTCATATGCCCCTTTTGCTTGCTCCTGGTATATATTCAAAAACAGTATGTAATTTGAATCATAATAAGTCCATAAGAAATCAGTTCACTTATCAGTATAAAATGAATATCTTCAAAATTGTTTAGTAAAAGTTAATTTACAACATAGTTTTCTATTTGATATAATCTCAAAATCTTCTGCAATGAATGCTAGTCTTAACCAAAGGCTTTGAAAGCAATAAAAAATTGTATACATATAACATAAGTGACAAGTTTGCAATTACTCAGCTAATGTTTACGTTATATTTTATTATTATTACAGATCATCAACCAACTGAACCCATCAGTCATATTTTCGGCACATGAACATAAATCATTTTCTATAAAAATGAACAAGTTTTTAAGTGGCCAAAAAACTGTAACTCATATCACAAAAGCAGATAAAAAAGTTAAGAGGTATCGAATTGGGGGAGATGTTATACATGAATTTATTGTACCTACTTGTTCATACAGAATGGGTGTTGAGGAATCCGGATTTGGAGCTGCAGTGATAAGTAATGTCCTCTGCATGAAATATGTGTTCGATGTAAAATATTTTCATGGACTCTTATTCCTTTTGCAGATGGATATGGGTCCTACCTAGATTATACAGTGCTATGGTTGCCATCTAGACTTCAGACTCTAAGGAACTATTTGTACTTCACATGCATATTAATTATTAGCATTTTACTAAATGCATCTTGCCTCTGTTTCAGAAGATTGAGAAGATTCAAACTGAAAAGTAGGAGTTTGTCTAATTAATATTTAATTAAATAAATCCTTATAACAGTATTAATATCACTATTTTGTATATTTGTAATAATTAACTTTGTATTGAATTAAAAAATAATATAATGCCTCACCTGACTTCTTTTTTACAGCTTGCTTTTTTTTATTTCTCATGTACTTACTACCAAATTTCAATAAATTTGGATAATGTATTCAAAATCAGGAAACTGATGCATCCATAGTTTGTCGTGTATTAACTTATGAACTTAATCATCATTCACATAAAGGGTGATCATTTATTATTCATAGTTTTAAACAACTAGCTATTAAAATATGTCATATGGTATATACATAAACTATGCAATTGAAATCCACAGCGATTATACTTTTGATTGTTAGAATGGCTTTGCTGCTCAATGCCTCATTAGGCACACACAAGTACACAAATATATTAATATATGCTACCAAATAAGACTAAAGCTTTAAATTATTTCATTATTATATTTTATAACAAGAAAAATCTACAGACTTTTTTTTTTTTTCATAATGACTTATCCAAAATTATTCAATAATTAAAAGCAAATAGTTTTGACCTAACTAGATTTGATATTTATAATTTTTGGTACATTAAAATTCATATTAATATCAATACACATTGCTAAATAAACCTTATAAAATCCCAAATTACTCATCATACTATGTAAAACCTTTGTCATAGACATTAATTTTAATTTTTATATTGATCTGAAATTTTTTCTATTGACAATTCTCAATTAAGTTAACAAAAATGGCAAGTCGTTAATTGTTCGTAATTTCTGTTGACATAACATCTTCGAGCAAGGCTAGGTAATAATAAATGTAATTTAAACTTAAATATATGCTACTTCAGGATTTATAATACTTCAATATAAAACTATTATATAGACATATATTTTATTTAATTTCCTGAATAATTATAAGAAAAACATAATGATACAAGTTTGCATTAGTACAAACTACTTCATGGCAATATACTTTACAAGACGCACAAAAATAATGTTTGCATTTATCAAACACTAATCTATTATTGGGAACTATTAATGCTAAAATAAATATAATTTTATTTACATAATAAATCTAAATTTTCATAAAACAAGTTAACAGGAAAATTACACCAACGCACATACAGAGCTCATACACATATGTGCTCATAAATAAACTGATATATATATATATATATATATATATATATATATATATATATATATATATGTTGCGTGTGTGTGCAAGAATATGATGCATTATTTTCAATTAAAACTAGTTTCCCTATATAGCAACAACTAACAGATTTAAAAATACACATTAAAAACAAGTATACATAAATTTAAAATTGATTAAACTTTATGAACATAATATCAATATTAAAATTTTTACATATTTTTTATTAGCATAACATACGAGAAGTAAATGAATTAGTTAAAAATGCTATTCGAGAGAGCCAATATTAGTACGAATTCGGGCCATCTTAAAAAGTTTTGCACTTATTTCAATTTAAACATAAATGCTCAGATCAGAATATTATAATAACTTTAAAAATATATTCAACAATGTACCTAACAATAAATATAGAAGCAAAATTTAATATAACAGGAATGTAAAATTTATTTATATTTGAATATGCTACTACTATGTCAACAGTAAGATAAAAAAAACTTCACTTTCAAGCAATATGAATGACGGAACATTCAATTATTTCAACTGTAGTTAAAATACTCACAAAATGTACTACTATTATTTTACTATATCATGTAGTAGAAGTCTACTTTTGCATTAACAGTTCTGTAGAAAGTTTTGTTAACTAAAAAGGTTATTAATATACAAATCATCGTGTCTATTACTTACATCCACTGCTAAAGTTTATTCATTATTTATCTTATTACAACAAATATTAGCACGGGTGAGCGCAGATTTACCGTTTATGGATTACCTGAAATAATATACATTATTGGCTAAAAAATATATGAAGTATTAATATTAGAGTTTTGTCTGTTCTTTGTAACTATTTTAGCTAATTTCTTTGTATTATCTATCTATCTATCTATATTCATATACATAATATTCATAAAATAATAGTTCACCTGTTAATGGTCCAACATAATTGCTAGGAAAGAGACCAGTAACACCATTTTTCTCGCCCCTCCACCAAGATGCTTCATCACGACCAGTTACACTTATTATGTCATCTTTTTCAAAGCTTAATTCATCCTCATTTTGTGCGGTGTAAGGATATAATGCTATAACTTTATCTGTTAAAAAGATAGTAATAATTTGAGGATTAATTTTTATTGAAACCTCCAAAGATGATAGAATTTTAAACATCAATATAATAATAATGGCATGTATAAAATAAATACATGTATGATCCCTCATACCAGACACTTCCATCTGTCTGAGATGTACAAAATTTATATTATGATTCAAATAAATAAAATAAAAATGAAAAAAAAGTAATAGGCAATAAAAAATAGTGTATTAACCATACAAAAAACGATACTTTAACTGCATAAATATATACATACAAATTTCATAAAAAAATTGCTAAGTTGGTCAAATTCAACAAATAATATCACAGTAACTCCAAAGAGAACTTATTTATTCCAATTACTGACTAAAATTTCATTCAAGTTAAATATAAAAATATAACTATGTAGTTTCTACCTTAAGTAGAATATCATTTACTTGCATACATTATTGCATATTTATTTTATATTACAGTTATATTAATAATAAATACGAACCCAAAACCTGCTCCATCATATCCGTTTTGCTGGCTGAGACTGGGGTGTTCCGTCCACTATTTCTGCCTCCCACAAGTAGTTTCACATAACTAGCCGGGAACCAGCCTACCTGTTTGCGACGACCTTTAGCTTGCAGCTCGCCCTCCCACCAACCACTATCAGTCTTTTTCCGAATCATGATTAGCTGTCCGCGTTGCAAACTAAGTTGTTCGCTACTGGTAGATTCATATGGTGCTATCACTTGAACTATTTCTGGTTTCTTACTTTTGATAGTCTGTGAACCATATAATGAAAATTTTACTTTGGTAATTTTAAAATCAATGGAATACACTGTAGTAGTCAATTATTAAGACCTAATAGTTAAAATGAAAAAAAAAAAATCTAATTAAATTTCACAAAAATTGTCAAAGAAATTAGTAATTGAGCTTCATAAAGAATTCACCTTATACTAAATTAAGTTATGTCCCAATAATATTCAACAACATTCACAAAAATACACAAAGTTTATCAATTCAATTATGTCTGTTTCCATAATAAATAATAACATAATAACTCACTTTATGGACAAACACAACAACAACTAAGCAAGAAAAAAAAAAACAATACAATAAAGCAAAAGATGTATAGGAAAAGCTGTCACATATTTAAATATACATGTTATTTTTTTATATAAATAACAATATTTGTTGTACAATATTCATATACAAATTAACAAAGATACCTAAAAACAATTTTGTTGCTACTTTAAAGTTTTTATTCATAAAAATTCTTTGACAAAAATAAATTGTAGCAATACAAAAAAATCTCAAAAAGTCAACTTATCAAATTATAATGTGAGTAGGCAAAGTTCTCACACTAATTTCAACAAAAATTAATGTCAAACCTGATTATTTGCCGAAAGTGCGGCAAAATCTGGTGTGGCATCAGCTGGCATTGTGGCATGCTGTTCGGAGGCCGCAGCCCTGTTAGTAATTTGTGTTATTTCAGAATCAACTGGAGTCATGCTGCCTGCACCAGTGGAATCCTGATTACTCACTGGTGCATGAGTAGTTTTATCAGTGACAACGGATGTGTTGTCTTGAGCAACAATATTTGAATTATCGGGCAAATTATTATCGGCCGGTACGCTTTCCGCTGGCTATGTTAGTAAAAGAACAAGAGCACAATAATAACACAAAAATAGCACATGAAATACACAGATGTTCTGCTCTTTCGCTACGATCGTCATCTGTATGATCATGGTGTACGAGTGTCGCTTGTAGACGACATCCAGCGTGTCGCTTAAGTGTAATTTTTGATTATGAAATACATTTCTAGTAATAAATGTAGGAAGATTTTAAAATACGTTGCGTAACGAATACTTAGGCGACTTGCTGGCTCGTACGGCAGTCTCACTTCTGCGGATGACACGACCGTTGCGAAAGAGTTGATCCAAAATCCAAGCTCAAAAAAGCTAAAAACACATTACACAATCTTCCCATAATTTTTGTTAGCTATTAGATGGTAGAAACTTCCATTTAGATGGTTATGAAGTATGTTTTTGCATATAATATAAATAACTTTTGCAATTTTAAAAGCCAATTCACAAATTAAGAATATTTTAGTTGTAAAAGGCTCTGTGTTAGAATAGGCCCCACCCTGGTATGTAAATGATTTTGATGCAATTTTATAGCTTTTTTCAAAAAAAATCTGATATACCAATTTTCAACTTCCTAGCTTATCATTTGGCCAACATATCATTGAAAATCCAGACCTTTTCTTATAAAATATTTTAAATTTGACAAATTTTCAATTTTATTAGTCTATGTCGATTTCAGGCTTATTAATAAACAAAAATTAATGATTTTGTATCCAAATTTATTATCATACAGTTCAAAATCAAATATTTATATAGTATATGGACTCGAAAATCAAATTTCTCTTGCTCATTTGTAACTTTTTAATATCCAAAGTCTACAACCAGAACCTAATGATTTCATTTCGTTGCCTTCCTTACTGGTATAGACAATTTAATATTAACATGTATAACAACTGAATTAACAGGCAAACTACTAGAATGAAAAATTATTTATGGATATTTCTGAAACTTTTTAAGTTTGCTAAATAGAAGTTTAGAAAATAAAATATTACTATGGTATAATTCTTTAATAAATGCAAGTATATAATTTTATTATTTACCCTATTAATTATTAATTAAAAAGTTGATTAGTATTTCATTACATTCAGTCATAGACCTTATAATACATATATACGAGGTGTGGCAATTAAGTAATGAGACTGATTCCATAAAAACCGTATGTTTTAAAATTATTCTACAACTCTGTCATACCCTTCAAAGTAGTCCCCTTGGGCAGCTATACAACAATTTCAGCGCGTTTTTCATGCTTCGTAACATTTCCGGAAGGCTTAGACTGGGAGGTCTACAAGTACCTTCGTCACGTCCGCCGTATGTTTTAAAATTATTCTACAACTCTGTCATACCCTTCAAAGTAGTCCCCTTGGGCAGCTATACAACAATTTCAGCGCGTTTTTCATGCTTCGTAACATTTCCGGAAGGCTTAGACTGGGAGGTCTACAAGTACCCTCGTCACGTCCGCCGTATGTTTTAAAATTATTCTACAACTCTGTCATACCCTTCAAAGTAGTCCCCTTGGGCAGCTATACAACAATTTCAGCGCGTTTTTCATGCTTCGTAACATTTCCGGAAGGCTTAGACTGGGAGGTCTACAAGTACCCTCGTCACGTCCGCCTAGATGTTCTGAATCGACTCAAAATGGGCTTTCACCATCGATTTTGTTCTGGGAAACAAAAAAAAGTCACAGGGTGACATATCGGCCAAATAAGGCGGCTGTTGCAACACGACGATCTCTTTAGAGGCCAAATACAGGGACATGCTGAGAGAGGTATGGCACGGCGCCTTGTCGTGATGAAGGATCCAGTTATGGACAATGTCTGAGCGCATCCTGTTGAGGTTTTCATAACATTTCGAGTAATTAGCGATAGTAGACTTGATTACGGTTTGCCCCAATTGAACAAATTCTTTGTAAACGATTTCACGGGTATTAAAACGGACAATCATCTCCGTTTTCACCTTCCTCGTTTTCCACGTCATCACGCCCCTCCTTTAACTCCTCATGTGATCAAAATATCTGGGCACAACTAAGAGCACTATTATCCTGCATATTTACAATTTTAGCGTACGTTTCCGAAGCTTTTTCGCCCAATTTTACTCAAAATTTTATCGCTGTTTATTTTATTTCTCCATTTTCGTGACGAGCACCAGGAATACACGTTTACTCAACAAGGCAGCGCAGGCAAACTAAACAAGCCAGGGATATGGAAAATACATCAATAAAGAGGGGAAGGATGCCGGGAGAAAGGAAAGGCAATTTTAAAGGATTACCACAATCGCGGCAATATAATTAGTCTCATTACTTAATTGCCACAGCTCGTATCATAAGGTCAATGCATTCAGCACTTAAACCACACAATAACAGTAAACCAAATCAATAACAGTTTCTGAATATGCTATGAAAGTATGAAGAGTCTGATAAGTATTAAAAATTATGAAAGAAAGCATGATTATTGAGGAGATAAACATACACAATTTTCACACAAAACTATAACACTTCAATACATACATAGTTACGTAATTATAAAAATATACTACTCAAATAAACAATACTCACATTGCAAAAAAACAAAATTACTATCAATATTTTAATAAACGATATTTGAAATTTTTTTCATTTTTTTTTTAGGAGAATTTCACATAATTAGGTAACTAACCTAATTAATATTGAATATACATTAAATTCCATATATTTATGTTTAATTAAGATAACATCGAGTAAATTAGTTGATTTGAATAGTAAATAAATAAAATTTCAACCCATGAATATAAAAATCCCAAATATGTGTAATATTTACACATTATAAATTTCATATATATAATCATAAAATAACTTACGGCTTTTTGAACATAGTTGGATGGAAAAATTCCAGTTCTATCATCTATGACACCTGTCCACCAGTCACCTTCTTTCTTAATAACTTTAATTATTTCATTTGCAGTAAAGGTAAGATCTCCTTGTTCCGTAGACTGAAAGAATCATTTCAAGAAAGTGCTATATCCATTTCTAATTTTTAAAAACTCTGTTGTTATTTACACTTATTTTGACTGAATTAAGAATGTACATAAAATATTACAAATGCATGAAGTACCTGATATGGATAGGAAGCAATATAATAGTCAACTTCACCGGTAGTTGAATCTGCTGGTGCAGTTGTAGTAGAATATGTATCAGTTGTGACCTCAGATGGTGTGTTTTCAGGAACCTCAGCTATACCTCTGCAAAGTAAATGAAATAAAGACATGCTAGTGCATGATGATAAATGTCTATCAACTTACTTTAGGAATCACATAAGTAAAATTTTATGGATTTTAGAATTATTAAACTTACTCAAGTTGATGTCTCATAATAGTATCATGATTTTCTTGTCCAAATGATATTTGTACATTGGCATCTACCGGTTCAACATAGGATTCTGGAAACCAGCCTGTTGAACCCCTGATTTCCCCAGCTAACCACCCAGGTTCAGCATTTTGCTCGAGTGGAACCTACAGACAAATTGTTACTTGAAAGGAGGAAGCAATTATAAGCAATATTTGAAATCATTATAAATATAAGTAAAATATCTTTCACAATAAATAATCACTGCCATTATATGTATATATATATTACCATTATGATATCTCCAGGTTGAAATGAAATTTCATCGCTGTTTCTAGCTACAAACTCATATACTGCTCGGTATTTGACCATATTAGTTGAGCTCGATACTGCAGGTGTTGATTGAGTATTCTCAGGCCAGGCGTTGCCCTTGATGTCCCAAGCATTATCATCCCATTCACTTCCATAACCCGTATCTTTCGAAGTCTTCATTTCAATGACCTACATTATTAATTACTCATTGAATTTTATTAAAAACAAGTATTACCTCCACAATATATTCAAAATACCTTTTTTCGGTGTTCATCATAAATTTCAAAAAGCTTTTCACATTCCTCCACTAAAGAAGTTAAATGACTTTTTAGCTCTGACAATTGCAAATTGTTATTTTTTATATCAACCATTTTCAAGTCTATCTGTTTTTGTGTATCTTCATATTTATCTCGCAATTGTTTCAGAGTTATATGTTTATTTGAGAATGCTGTGTTCATTTGCTCTTGATTTGCTGCACTTTGCATTAAGTTCATTTTGTTTTTGGCTTCAAGGCGTGCTTTTTCTTGGCTTATAATAACTAATCTTGCATTCTGGTCCTTCAATTTGTTTTTCAATTGAGCCATTTCAGTAACTTGGGAATCTCTTGTTGTTCTCATACCATCTATAGTTGTCTTTACGGAAGACACACCAACACGTGTATCACAAATTTTTTGTGATAAATCTTTTACCTAAAAAAAAAAAAAATTTAAATCTCAATTTGTAATTAATTAAATAGTTTATATTATAGATAAATAATTGAAAAAATAATAAAACAAATTTTAATCTTAATAAACATATTTTTAGAGTAATAGTAAAATCTTAATAAAACACATATTATTCTTATTATTGAAATAAGATAACATTAAACCTACTTTATCATTCAAGGTAGTTAATTCTATTGTAAGACTTTGGTTTTGGGCTTTCAATCGTAAAATATTTTCTTGTTCTTTCTGACGTAATTGTTGTAAATCCTGAAGCTTCTGATTTTCCCATTCCATCTGCCTTTGTCTTTCCATTTCCCTATATTTATTAGCATAAAAGAGGATTAATTTCATACAAAAGTTTATACATATATAATATTTATGAATTTTAAATATTTACTTTATGAATTGTATAAATTAAGCAAAAAAGCCTTTATATAACACTATGCAATAAAATATTTTAGCATAAATTTCATCTAGATATGTATCATAAAAATTTATGATTACAATACATGATATAATTAAATTATTTGTAAGCAATATTGCATTGTGTGCCAGAGTTCAGTTTCATTAAACATGACTATAAAAAAAAATTAAATCAGAATAAAAGAGCAACAATTTAATTTTGCATTAAATTTACAACTGACTCACTTTCTAGCAGCTTCTCTCTGTTCTTGCTGTCTTCGCCTTTGCTCTTCTTTCTCTTGCTCAATTTCTTTTTGCCTCTGTAACTGTCTCTCGAGTTCCTCTTGTCTCTTCCTTTCTTGTTCCAAACGAGCCTTTTCTCTTTTTTCAGCCTCTTCTCTTTCTTTCCTTTCCCTTTCTTCTTGTTCTTTACGTTGTATCTCAAGAAGTGCCTTACGCCTCCTCTCTAATTCAGCTTGTCCTTTCTCATAGTTTTCTTTGCGTTTATCTTCAAATGAAGCTTGGAAACCAAAAAATAGCAAGTGAGAAAAATAAATAAAACAAATGAATATGAATAAAATATAATTAATTCATTTATCAAATGTAATCACTGACATATGCCATACTTTGTGGAAGAGTAGAGGCTGGACAAACGTCGCCACCATCAGCAGAAGATGGTGATCCTGTTGCACTTGCTGTTTGCCCTACCAATGAATTGTGCCGCGAAAGCAATGTGCGTTTGAAGGTTGGTGGAATTAAACTTGAGGGAAGTACAGATGGTACTTTTTCTCCGGCAAGGGCCTATAAATTATTAGAATGTAATAATTTCATTATGTAAAAATATAATATATAACAATATAATAAAAAGTATTTTTAATAAAAATAAATAAGTAAAACTTAAAAAAAGAGACAATACCTGATCACATAGAAACATTGCAAGAACAAACTCATCACAACCTAATTTTCCATCATTATCCATATCTGATAATGACCAAATAGAGGCAAGAACATTTTGGGGCAACTTTGTTTGGACCTAAAATGAGTTTATAATTAATTGATGTAATAAAATGCATGAATATTTTTATGCAAAATCACTAGAAAGCATACTTTTAAAATATGTAAATCTCACCATAATATTACGAGCTTGAGGGCCAGATAAAAATCCACTTCGTGTACGATCCATTGAATTGAAAACTTGAGTATATTTCAACTTAATTTGTTGTGGTACAGCCCACTCTAAATGAGCACTATTTGAAAATAAAAACATAATATATATATATATATATATATATATATATATATACATATATATATATATGTATATATATGTGTGGTTTTGTTAAATTTTGAACTCAGTAAAATTTTAAATTTTTAGAATGTGTATATTCACAAACACAAAAATGCTTATTTTTAAATGTACTTCAATTTGTTTACAATAATTTATAATAATCTCTTAATTTGTAAAAAAGACGAAGTGTAGTTTATTGTGCATAAGGGGCCGTTCAAGTATTCCGTAAGCACTATAGAGGGGCGGGGGGTTATTGATTTGCTTATTTTGGGTGAAAATTTGGTGACAAATTTGCTTACTTTAGCTGACAAAGGGGATGAGGGGGGGGGAAATAATTGTAATAAACCTGCTTACGTAATACTTGAACAATCCCTAATTATTTATGTGAATAATGTTTTTTGGTATCAACATATCAATACATAAAATAAGAATTTCACCATATGCTTTTTAACAGATTTTTTGCCACAAAAAAACATTTGTTATTTTCTATCAAACTCACAAAAATAAATTACATAAATATAACTCACGGAGAATCAATAGAAGAAATAGATCCAGATCTTTCAACAACTCCAACTGGCTTAGCAACAGGCTGCTGTGTTATTACTGGAGATATGAGTTGATTTGGCGGCGTAACTACACCAGGAGGAATAACAGGTGGTGTATTAACTAGAGGTGCAGTATTCAATAGTGGTGCAGTGTTAACTAAGGGTGCTGCAGTATTGATCAATGATGCAGCATTTGCAAGTGGTGCGGAAGGTATTAGAGGTACACCACCCAGAGCTAAAAATAAAAACATAAATAATACTTATTTAATTAGGAAGAGAATTATTTTCAATTATAACAAATGTCTAACTGAAGGTAAATAAGTTTTTTTCATATATTAAGTCAATCACCAACAATAACAAATTATATATGTAATAGACTTGAGCAGTACAATAAAAGTTCAAATAAAAAATATTTATATATTATCATCAAAAGTGTGAGTTCTAACATTTTTTTTCTTTTATAATACTGAATAGAATTGATCATCAATTTTATTACTACTATTAACAATATGGTTAAATATAATTATCTCACTTACATTGTTTACGAGATTCATTCAAATCTGACACCAAAGGGGCTGCATTCATGACCAAAGCAGTATTACTCGTTATAGGCATAGCCCCAAACTTACTTTGATTTACTGGCATTCCTCCAGTAAAATTATTGTCTAGTGGTAACCCATGATTTAAATCTGCTACATTAGAAGTCGATGCAGACATCAAATGCCTCTGGTTAAGAGTATTCATTGTGCCCAGGGGATCAATTTGACCCAATGAACTCATTCTCAACATAGGAGCTGGCATTGTATTAACAACTGGCTGTGCATTTGTTGGCGTGTTGGTTTGCATAGAAAGAGATTTTACCATGGCCAGTGGTAAGGTTTTTGGGATTTCAAAGCCCCGAAGTTTTAAATTGATTAATTTACATGCTATACTAAATTCATTTATATCCATTTTTCCATCTGCATCAGTATCGGACAGAGTCCTAAATAAACAAACAAATGATGAGTATTCAAATACAAAGTTACTCATATATTTGATGTAAGCACATTTCTTCATAAACAAAATGCACACAAATATATATATATATATATATATATATATATATATATACAGTAATACCCCGTTTAACGCTGTATCGTTTAGCGCTGTTTCGGTTTAGCGCTCTTTTATTTCAACCCACATTTTGAAGGAATAAATGATGAAGATGTTGAAGAAATAATTCAAGAAGCAGCACAGACTTTCTAATGGTAAGCTCAAGGAATGAACTAAACAAGAAGAAAACAAAAATGTTGACAGCAGTGATTCAGCGGAAAAGCAAAAAAAACTTTTGACGGTGTTTGTAAAAACGAGCCTGTCTACCATAACTGAAATAATTTATCAATTCATTGAAAATGATCCCAATTTGACAGGAAGCCTAAAGTAAGGCGTGGTGTTAGAATTGCTCTATCCGTTTATGATGAACTTTTAAGAGAACAACGCAAAAGAAAAAGTGAAACAACATTAGATGCTTTTGTCACAAAAAGGCAAAACACTGAAAACGCAAAAGACTAACTAAATTTGACAGATTTAAAATGTTATTTGTTTTTTCAAGAATATTCGTTTTGTTATTTATATTTTGTTTTAATTTTTGAAAGAAATAATAATGTGGTATTAATTTGGGCTTTAAGAAATAAATGTTTGGTTTTATTTTTAGTAAAAACAACATACTTTTTTAATTTAATACCGAACCAATTTCCTAGCCGTATTCCCCTAACTTCAGTATTTCCATGTAAAGATAGCTTCGTTTGGCGCTACTTTGATGGAACGTATTCCCCGCGTTAAACGGGGTATTTTTGTGTGTGTGTATATATATATATATCTTGTAACTAAAATAATCACCGAGTGCAATATAACTTAATGATGAGCCAATTATTATACAACCAACAAATCCTCAATAAAATGTACAAGGTGTTGTACAAAGTTTTTTCTCAATCCTTAAGATCATATATTTTTATCCAAAATTGAAAGATGGCATTAAGATTTATAAAAATTAATCAGGAATTACTGAACATGCAGCACTGTTATATAATTACATTAAAAAAATATGAGACTGAATAATTGTTATTGCTGTAATTGCTGTAACTAATCTCTAACAGAATTTACAAATAAAGTGAAATGTAAAAAAAAAACGAGCTAAGCACACTACCTCGTATGTGGCGTTTGAACGTACATTTTGAAGTGATTTATATTTAAAACGGTGGCTCTGAACAAAAAAAAGTATGCATTTTTTGTAGATAATTTTATGCTCTACAATATTGTCTCACATAATTTTGCTATAAAACTGACCATTTAGCTGAAAATCGCAAAAGGGTAAGTTTTGTGACCTTTGACCTGGTGCCATTTTTTTAGCTCGCTTCAGATCGATGAGAACTTTTGAGATTACTTTTAAAATTGTATTTTAAACAATTTTGCCAAATTACAGCCCATTATGAATTATAGTAACCTTGAAAGGGTAAATTGACCAGGCCATTAATTATAAAAAGAGAAATATCAATTCATAACATTCAAGTATTCTATTAAAATTTAAAACAAATATAGCAGCACTGTTATATAATTACATTAAGAAAGTATGAGAATGAATAATTGTTATTGCTGTAACTAATCTCTAACAGAATTTACAAAACATGTATAAACTGTAACTGTATTTGAAGAGTGTAAGTTAATAAAAACAAAAAACATGTGTCAAGTCAAAAGTCTATGATCACTTAATTGAAATTAAGTATCTCATACTATTAATGTATTTACTTATGAAAATAGAGATAGCAATTCATAACATTCAAGTATACTATTAAAGTTTAAAGCAAATATATAATATGTACAACTACAATACTGCACATATAATGAATATAGAAACATTATATGAGGGCATTTCAATCCAATACTTGACATAGCGCAAAGACAAAAAAACAAATCGACTATTATTAAATGTGACACAAAAAGTTTTTTTTTTATAATATAGTTCTAGCGGCTGCAACTTGTTTTAAATATATTTTATATATAAAGCCTAATAGGATTGTCATGAAAGAATTTATATATGATAGATAGGGTTTCTTCCTTATTTCACATACCATATCTGTCCTAATATAGCTGGTGGTAGCTGAGACTGCAGCAAAAATCCTTTTGCCTGTGCCCCAGTCACAACTCCACCAACTGGCTGAAGACTCTTAAATTGTTCATTATATCTCGCCATTTCTCTCGCAGTTATCACCCAAGGATCGGTTGCCATTGTAAAACGGTGGCACCCTTCACAATTAAATAATTATTTCAATGCACTGATTAAATTCTAGAAAGTAGAAATAATTCATAAAATCTCATCTTTAGTAATTCAATATAGCGCACAGTACAATTACAATCAAACACAAATATGCAACATATGAATATTTTGACAACTAGCTCGAAGTAAAAACAAAAAACTTTATAACCATATCACTTACACTTATCGGCGTTTTAAATTTTCGACGACAATTTTAAACAAGTCTTCCTACATAAATAGGATCGTGAATTAGTTGAGTATTAGCACTTCATTTGAAAATCGTAATCATATTCTCTGATGGAATATTGTAAAGAAAATCAATACCTGGCCTACCACACCATTGGTATTTCCAGGCATTGGCCACAGAAAGTCGAATATTCCATACCCACTGCTTGCACACGCACGTCGTGCGCCGCCAGTGCGCCGCTTTCACACGAAGTACAAATGACTGAACGGACGATGCGCTTGCGCAATTTGCAGTTGTCAAAAAATATATGCATTAATATTTTATGTTTTACATATTCATAAAAAAAAATTAAAATTACCCATGATATACTTGCTTAATAAATAATTGATATGCATTTAATGAAGTATTACATTTTTAAAAATAAATTCTTATCTAATTATTTATTATTTATACGAACCACAGTTATCTGGAATACAAACTTGATACACAAGGTTCAAAACCTTGCTACCACTCGCGCGCTTTATGAATGTCGAATGTGTGCCACAGTTGTGTGGAAAACTTACAGTTTACTTTCGTTTAAAAAAACTGATTTCGCTGTCCCGCTGCCGTTCTAAAAGAAATTTAAAAATTGCCGAACGAAAAGTCTATATATATATCACAGAAATTCTTGTTCACTGCAATTTTAATATATGAATAGATAAATTAGTAAAATAGTTTTGATTAGTTAAACGACATAAGCATCTTTATTAAATAATCTAATATTAAATCAGTTAATATCATCTCTGTATTAAAAAAACAAATAAAATAATTTTATGTAGTTTAAAGTTAAGTATTCAAGCCAAGTATTCAAATAAATTGGTGAGCGTGCTTCGCAGAAAAGATGTTTTATTTATGCAGTTTTTATTATAAAATCAAATAGTTTTCAACAAAAAAAAAGTTTTATACGAGTGTGACCCTATGCAATTTATTACAAGCTCCCGAAAATCTTATTTCCGAACGTTGAACAAAAAATTTGTAGATATTTTTGTAAATATCTAATGTAAATTACCTAATGTAAGTATAGTTTTTAAAGCCAAAAAATGATTTTTTTACCAGTTCCAAAAATTCTTGTCCTAATTTAGAGTATCCAGTATTTCATGCTCATCTTCATAATTACAAACCACTCATAAATTTATTTTTATTTTAATTAGAAATCTGGAAATAAAATTGAAATTTCAGTTCTGCGTTCATCGAGTAGGATATTGCAAATGTTTTAAAGAACGTATAAACTTTTACAAAATTTGATAAATCTGTAAATACTGTTAAATCATAAAAAATCAAAACATTTCTTTTAAATAACAATTTATTAATAATACAATTTATAAGATAGATTACGCTATAAAATAGATCACAAAATTCAAATACTTAATATATATATATATATATATATATATATATATATATATATATATATATATATACCACTAGAGCTAAACTTACCATAAGGAGCGGAGATGCGAAAAATGTTGGCAACTCCGATACTTTTTATCATTAAATATATGTTTATTACATCAATAAAAAAAAATACACAGCACTCGATTTGAATACATATGTTGCATTCCACATAAAGATAGAATCGGAAATATTTAAAATAGAAACAATATATATTAAGCTTATAGCTATTACGATAGAATCTTAAAATAATATAATATAAAACGGTGGAAGTCATGGTTATCTAAATCAAAAATTTCAGACCAAATTATTTGTTATAAATAACTGTTTCTATAATTTAGGATCTTGAGGTAATGATTCATAACTAATCTTATAATAAATAATTAAGAGAAAACTTTGAGGCGTATAAATATTTATAATTTAATGAAACGATGATGAATATGAGTTTATATTAATTTAAATAAAAATATCTTAAATAAGTACTAAGTAGATATTATCTTAATCAGCCATACATCGCACACAATTTTATCACTTAATCGAGCAATAACTCATTAAAACAGAGTTTAATAAGGCGTTATATTATAGAATATAATAATAAATTAAAAGTCTTGTAATCAAAAAGTCGCGAATAATAAGAAATTAAAAACGCTCGCGTTTTATATTATCTAATTTCATAGTCAACAAAAAAATCAACGAACATTCTAATACTTAGACTCTACTTTGTCTCAACCAATATAGGAAATTGCATTATGGTTTGATCTGATTCATCTGATGCAAAAATATTAAAATTATTTAATTTTTGTTTAATAACCCAGTTGAAATAATTACAGAACCAATAAGGTAATCCAATAAAACGCGCACATACGACCATTAGTGGCAGGTACTAGAAGACGGCATATTCACATTTGCAAGAAGTAGATTATCAAGCCGTCATGACGATTTGATTGTATATTCCTGGCCATTCATAGCACTCCCATAAATCACACATGTACATTCTCTGAATATCTTGCAATTTTCTATATGCATTTAGTTTAACAATCATGTTTAAATTGAACGTCGCACAATGTTATCTAGTAGGAAGGTCGCGGCGTACGGAAGAGAGATGCGATTTGTTCGAGTGTGGGCAGTCTTTGTCTGGTCATGCGGAATTCCTCCTTATCTTCATCAACCGGAAGAGTCCGATTCAAATCTTCCGGAACCGGTGACCCGTCAGGCCTGACTCGCACAACCATCGGTCCTATTGGTGATTTCAAAAAATTTCGGTCTAAAGAGGCACTATTAAAACCAGAATGAACAGCAAAGCTTTCTTCAAGAGCAGAAGATGATTCTTCCATGTCGTCAATTTGATCACGTCTGCCTTGGTTGTTATTGTTTAAGGAGTTTCCGAAAACATCCTCAAAACCTGTTTTGACAGCGCTGTAATCTACATCCACATCTTTGAATAAAGGATTAGGACCGTAGGAATTTGCTGCGATTATTGCTATGGATGGAGGTTGAGTACTGCGATCTCTATCAGTTTCCTGATTTTCCCCGTAGACCATCTTAGCCCAAACTGAAAAATAAACAAAATAATTAAATGTGGTAAATCGAAAATACCGAATCTAATGACCAAAACCGATACTAAATTTAGTTTAATGATCAAAATTAAGTTTGATACTTACTTAATTCGGAAGCACCACGTTGATAAGGATCCAAGTCGTCCAATATATCATCGTTCAGCGAATGTAGTACATTTAGACCATGAGACAACATATTCTTTCTGCATAAACTGTCTAAGTTGATACAGTATTCGTCTACTTGTTTTGTAAAAATTGCATACAAATGTGACATCTGGAAACAAAAATATTATTCAGTTAATTAACAAAATTAAAATATTATCATGCACGTATAAATACAAGCCGTACACATTCATACACTACCATAATTATATTATTTTGAATTGCAATTAATATGCTAAATTTCATTAAAAACGTTTTCGCATTTTCATATATATATATATATATATATATATATATATATATATATATATATATTATATCAAGCAGATGATTAGCAAATTTCATAATTGTTCTTCCATGCACACATTTAGAATCACAAATACGAGATCAATTAATGTTTTTATACTCTTTTATTATGAGATCATCGTTTAAATTGTAAATGACTGTGTATTGTTAAATTACATAACACCATTCTTCTGCTCATATACTATTAGTAAACTTGTTTGTCTATAATAATGAATTAATGCTTATTTATATTCGTCGTCCAATTCTCTAATTGTAATAAATACCTTACGACGTCATTTATAAAGTACGTTTTGATATTCGATACATATTATATATATATATATATATATATATATATATATATATATTTAAGGTCCCATAAATATCAGATAAATCCGATAATTATCAAACCTTGAACTTTTTCAAGTCTGATTTATTACCAATACATAAGATAAATTACATACTACGTCAATTAAATAAATTCTCAAAAATTTTATTCAATAACACCAGTGGTAGTTTGAAGAGATTGAATAGGTTTTGGGCAATGTTTATATGGGCATGGTTATTAACTGAAAGTTTTTGATGGCAATTTATTCCTAGTGTATTTCACTTTTATAATTAACATTATTATAGTTTACTTTATTGTATTTTATGGTTTTTCTAATATTATTTCTTATTATTCACAAATTTTATTTATTTTATTTATTAATTTTATTATTATTATTGTTTGCTAATCATTTTATAATGAATTATCATAATAAGGATATCATTTTAATGGAAATACTGTCTTTTATTTATATATTCAATGTTATTAGATGCTATTTAGAAGTTGTAACAGATATTGACATTAATTTTTTTTTAAATGCAAAATACATGTACAAAACGATTTTTTAAAAAAAGAATGAAGTTCTTTGAAATCCTCATTAGACAGAACATATTGCATCAGTACTCGAGTAGCTTATATATAAAGTACATGTTAAAATCCTGCAGAGAACTTGAATATGAGTGAAAATGTTTGGATTTAAAAAAAAAATCAGGTCCCCCACGTGATATTTTGTGATTTTTTGTCAAACCCCCAATTCCCCCAAAAACCTCACGTGATTAATAGACGCTCCCAAAGATTTAGGTATATATGCCGACTTCTAAAAATGTATCTCTTTAATAATGATTCCAAAACATTTTTTTCTTTGAATATAATAAATTTTGCTTGAAACTATAGAAAACTGCTATTAACTGAGAAACGTCATATTTGTGCATATAATTTACCAGAAATTTGAGAGGATTCTGCGTGACAACTTATACGAACTTAATCCGCCTAGCAAATCCGGCGTCTGAGTTTCTACTTTCATTTCATCAGACAACTTTCCTATTTTTAAGACTGATGTTATTTGTTATGTTTCTAAGCAACGGTCTATAAACTTTATGCTTCGCTTCATAATAATGCATACGATATTCGTATTATTGAAAAGATTTCACTCGCTGGTGCCCGTAAACTTGAAATAAATTGCACTTTAATTTAATTCAATTTAATGATCCATAATAAAACTGATGTAATTGAAAACAATTCTAGTCATTGTTCTATACTCGGTTGGATAAAACTGCTGATAGAATTGTTAAATGATTTCTTGTTTTTTACCAATAGTGTGTTTAAACATTAATATCATAATTTAATTATTAGCAATTCAAGATAAAATAGTGCATTAATGGATATTGATATGTACTTAATACGGTAAAACTGTGATAATATATATTCAAACAATTCTAGCCATTGTTCTATACTCGGTTGGATAAAATTACTGATAGAATTGTTAAATGATTTTTTGTTTTAGTGTGTTTAAACATTAATATTATAATTTAAAAACTAGCAATTCAAGATAAAATAGGTAAAATTGTGATAATATATAGTGCAAAGTAAAAGACATCACAATGAGGCATTGTACGTTCTAAAATTTATACATACTCAATTAACAAATGTGACTTAATAAAAATTACGAAAATAAAATGCAGTAATACCCCGCTAAACGCTGCTTCATTTAGCACTTTTATTTCAATCGGTCGATTATCTTAAATATGGGTAAAATAGTGGAATTAGCGAAAAATCTGGTTTGGATGAGGTAAATGTTAGTCAATATAATGGTTTTTATTCCCTAAAAAACTATAGCTGGTTTATCTAATTATGATCTAAAGTGATTAACTGAACAAGAAGGAATCATTTGCAAATATTGATAGTAAAAGAGCAAGAAGAGCAAGAAGAGCAAAAAGAATTTTCAATGATGCTTGTAAATAGATCTTTGACCACTGCGACTGGCATTATGGTCCAATTGGTTAAATGATTCAAATTTTGACAGGTTAATAATAAAAAAATTGTAACTACATTGGATGCCCTTTTGACAAAAAAAGAAAGACAGATCTGACAATTATTTTGATTTATATGCATAGTTTTTGTTAGTTTTAGTTTTGTATAAAATGTTTTATTTTTTTATGAAAATTGTTTATATAAAAAATCATAACCATTTAATATATCTTGCGTTTTCTTATGCTTTGCAGAAAAAAATAATACTGATTACACATACAATAAGAGATAAAGAAGAACTTGCTGACAAAATTGGGTGAGCAAGTACAAAGAGAATATTAAAATACTAAAGACAATAAAACATTGCTATTTTTTATATACATTATTCCAATTTCTATACCCCAGCTGGCTTCTCGAGAAGAACTGGGAATAATTATCATTAAGGAAGGAATACACAGACATAGTCTTTAGTGCAGAAACGAGCTGACCCAATAGTCCAGTCATTTAAGCTTAAATTAGGTAAGAATCTCGGAATTCCAGATACCCAGCTGTAAGTCTGTAAATACTTATATATTGACTACCCTAAAGTTGTCTCAAAACCTACATATGGTAGGGTGTCAATACCATATGTAGATTTTGAGACAATTTTAGGGTGTCAATATACAAGTATTTACAGACTTACAGCTGGGTATCGCGAATTCCGAGGTAAACTTACTATAATGACTGGATTACAAAACTCTAAAACTCTAGCAGGAGAGTTGTCAAAAACCCCTTCCCCCTAAAATCCTCACGTTCAGGTTCAATCATAAGTATCAACCTCACTGGGTGTAGTTCTTAAATTTTCTTCGCTTGTATATTCTGATCTAAATTGGTCATATATTTTATGTAGATAGATGGATCAAGCAAATGATGAAAAAAATTGAAAAAAATAATTTAAATTCCAGAATCTTTATTCAAACAAATTTGGTGCCATGGTATAGAATTGTGGGGCAGTGCTCATAAGACTAATGTAGAAATAATACAGAAATTTCAAAAGAAATTTTTGAAAATTGCCTTAGGAGCTCCAAAGAAGATTGAAAAGAAAAGCTCCACTGGATTTAAGCCATCAACTCTCTTGATAAAAAATAGATCTTAATCATTATTTATAAGAAATTATTTAATAAGTAAATAGTTAAAATTATATGATTATCAATAAAATATTGTGAATTTTATATCGAATGGAAAAACAACTACTGAGTTGTTTTTTTTCCAACATGCCCTTGTAGTATACAATGTCCCTTTTCGGCCGACTATTGTAAATTCATCAAATTTATTGAATGTCCTTTACCGGACAGTTGTAAATAAAAGACGTAATAAAAAAAAATCCAGTACCGCAAATATGACAAAAATCTTATATAATAGTGAGGTGTTGCCATGTTTTGCAAATGGGAAGTAGTAAAGTGGATTTCTGCAATGGTTTTGCAAAAACTCTCAAATCTCGAGATGTGTTTTATTGAAGCACACGAAACTTTCCTTCGCGCCGGACGTGCTTTCCCGGCCGAAGCAAATAATAATCTTTATCATCTTTTACGATCGGTTCGTTGTACGACTTCGAATCAGTATTCCGGATCGCTGACGGGTTAGTATAGGTACAGTTTATTAGAAAGCTGACTTGAAGACCTCTAAAATATTGCCTGGTCTAGTGGCACAGTTGCCGTGAACTAGAAATTACCCTGTTGTTGTCGCAGAATCATTCAAAGAGGCACTGAACAACTTTAAAACTCTACAAATTATCGATATGCTTGGATAGTAGTTTACGAGTTAGATGCATCATTCATACCAGAGTTAAATTTCGTAAAGACCGTGAATCACTGATTTTGAAGAATTTTTTACCCTCTCCTCCCCCTTGGTCATATGTGGTAACACATAAAGTTGCTCTTCTCCCCCCCCCCCCTTTCCAAACCCTTCAATACTTGTATTTTTAGTACCAAGAAAAAATTGTAAAATTTTTGGAAAAAATTTAATTTTTATTTTAATTCAGGTAAAAAATAATTACACATGATATCTTGTTAGACCTGTTAAGACTTAGGTAATTAATGGACCCTTATAATTTTGTGAATAACTAAGCAACTAAATTATTTATTATAATAATACCCTACCATTAGTTTAAAAATAAATTAAAAACGATAAATAATTGAAAAAACGTTAAAAATATAATTATAATAATGTGTGATATTCACACAATATTTTTTACCACAAAATAAAGTTAGTTAATAATGTAAAACGCAAACTTTGAATTTATTAAAATTTGAATTTGAATTAGATCTTTTATTTACTTTACAAGTTAAATTAAATTGGTATTGTGAATTGAAAAAATATAAAAACTAAAATTGGTATTTATTTATTTAATATATATAAAACATTAATATTTTATTGACATTATCCAAAATCGTTTATAAAAATTAAAGAAACGATGCATTCTAATAAATTATGTATGTATATACATACGATACCTTTATTTATCTTATTATGCCTTTAGGTTTAGAATAAAAATCATTGCTACAAGTTTTTTTTGTAAAATATTGTAAATAATTAATTGACACTGTGAATATTTTTATTCATATGTATTGGCCAATAATAATAGTACTATAAACTTTTAAACTTAAACGAGTTGATGAAAACTAATTTATATGATAAAGCTGTAACAGCAAGTATACGAGTTATTTAAATAAATAATTACAACAATATTGATGAAAAATGTTTATAAAGCTACTTCGATATATAATGAAAAAAATGCTAATACATAATTATGAATTAGTATCTTGCAATACTGATAATAATCACATATCACTGGTTTGTAATGGAACACTGGACTTCTCCATAGAGTCAATTCTAAATTAATATTTTTTCATTTTATTTTAACTGCTTTATTCTCCTTTTTTCATGTAAGAATAGTTAGAAAATTTTATTGTAACTTGATTACTAATTTAAAGAAATTAAAAAAAAATACTGGTCTTTATATTTATGAAGGATGTTAGAAATATTTTAACCCTTAATGTTAAAAATAACCGTTCTTCAAAGGTGGTAAGTTGATTGATTAATATCTTATTTACAAGCACTCACAACATTTGCTAATTTAAGGAAATAAAAATACTGGTTTGTATATTTATGAAAGATGTTAGAATTTTTTTTTACACTATTATATTTTTTTCCAAAAGAACCATTCAAAGGTGGTAATATTGATTGATTAATACCTTATATCCTTTTAGATCTAATGTTTAATATTTTATATATCATCAAAATTACTGAATGTCTTCCTTTTTGTAAAGACAGATTGTAATTCAATAAAGAGAATTAAAAAAAAAAAAAAAAAAAACTTATAAAGACTACAAGCACTCACGCATTTGCTAATTTAAGGAAATAAGAATACTGGTTTCTATATTTATAAAGGATGTTAGAAATATTCTTTACACTATTATATTTTTTTCAAAAAAAAAAAAAAAATCTTTAAAGGTGGTAATATTGATTGATTAATACCTTATAAAGTCTACAAGCACTCACACATTTGCTAATTTAAGGAAATAAAAATACTGGTTTCTATATTTAATATGAAGGATGTTAGAAAAATTTTTTACACTATAATATTTTTTTCAAAAAGAACCATTCTCCAAAGGTGGTGATATTGATTGATTAATACCTTATAAAGACTACAAGCACTCGCACATTTGTTATCAATCTTGTTATTTTGACATTCCGAAATCTAAAAATAAATTCAGACGACCCACCTTTTCTCCTCGGCTAAGATACTCCCACATAGGAATTGCCGACCCGGATATCGCAGGAAGCAAAGCAGACACTACAAGTAATATAGTAGAGCAACTCATTTTATTAACAAACATCGTTAAATAATATTTTTTCTAACACTTCGTGCACAGGTTGTAAATAATAAAAAATAGAGTTCTTAAATCACTTCAATAAACCAATAAACGATTTCAAATTATATGTTCCACGGTGCGATCATTCCGCGCTGGTGGTCACTCAACGTATGTTGGGATGTGGACGGGTTCTCGGTGTATTTAAAGAGTCGACTTTTGCCGTATTGGATGACGTATCAAATTGTGAGAATCGTTTTAGTCCGATATATCAAACATAACATAAGTTCTTAATTATTGATAACGACGACAATCTAGTTTGGTTACATTTTTCGCGTGTTTATTTCTTCGCGGTATTTGTTGTGTACCTCCACACATGGTGAGATCCAGCCAATTAGCTGCTATCGCATAAACAATTTAAATTTTAAAAGATAATTTGCGTTCACAGCATTTTATAAAATTATAACATTCATACTTATCATGAAAAATAAGTAAAATTATAAATAAAATTATTTAAAATTAAAATAATTTTAAAAACATAAAATAATAGTTTCAGTTGTGTTTATGAATATTTTTGTGTGCAGTGTTGTTGGTGTGTCAGTTTATAAATTAATTTTAGTGTGCAGTTTTTTTTCTGTATGACAACGTTTTTGCTCTACTATATAGTATATGTTGTAATACTATTGAAGTACAAGCTTGAAAAAAAAAATATCATAAATAATAAACATAGACATTTTTGATGTTGACAATTTGTGTTTTTATTGTTAGTAATTAAACTGTGCTGTAATTTTTGCACTTCTAAATATTTTTTGAAAAACTATATTTTGCACTTATATTTAAAACTGGATGCCCCGACAGACGTTGTCCTGTACTTATGATTACAATTCAAATGTTTCAATTTTTTTAATAACCTATACAATTAGTTAAAATTTATTATGTCTTTTTACACTAGAGTCTATACCGAAATGTATATACATCCACCCATCTGGATCTTAAATGTACAACTGCTTTAAATAAAATGAGTATTTGCTTTTGTGAAAAACATTATGAAACAGTAAAAAAATTCAGACCCAAAACGCCCCATTGACTTGAGTAAATATTCCGTATCCAATGGCTAAAATATGAAAATACTAACGTTTGTATGTGAAAATGAAAAGGGCTGTTTTTAAGGTTTTTCCTGCAATTATTCGATTTTTTTTTCACCGTAAGAAACATCCTTGGACTTCAACGAACATTTGACAAAAAGAATTTGCCAAATTTGTCCAGGCGTTGTTGAGTTATGCGCTTACCAACACATTTTGCGATTCATTTTTATCTTATAGATATATTATATTGTTTATTTATATATTTAAAATGTGACTTAAAGTATCAATCCTAAAGTTGTTGCTATATGACGACAAAAAAGTTTACCTTATGCAAAAGTACTTTTTATATATTTTGTATAAAATAGTGCATAAATATTGTAGTATATAAAGTAATTTATTGTTTATTTATTTAACATGTGATTATTATTAATATTGCAAGATACTAATCCATAAATATGTATTAGCATTTTTTTCATTATATATCAAAGTAACTTTATAAACAGTATTTTTTATCAATATTATTGTAAATATTTATTAAAATAACTCGTATACTTGCTGTTACAGCTTTATCATATAAATTTGTTTTCATCAACTTGTTTAAGTTAAAAAGTTCATAGTACTATTATTATTGGCTAAGACATGTGAATAAAAACATTCACAGTGTCAATTAATTATTTACCTACAATATTTTATAAAAAAAAAACTTGTAACAATGATTTTTATTCCAAGCCTAAGAGCATAATAAGATAAATAAAGGTATCCTGTGCATATTCATATATATTTTATCAGAATGCATCGTTTCTTTAATTTTTATAAATGATTTTGGATAATGTCAATAAAATATTAATATTTCATATATATTAAATAAATGAATACCAATCTCATTTTTTATATTTTTTAAATTCACAATATCAATTTAATTTAACTTGTAAAGTAAATAAAAGACCTAGTTCAAATTCAATTTTTTTTAAATTCAAAGTTCATGTATTACATTATCAAAACTAAAACTTTATTTTGTGGTAAAATAATATTGTATGAAAATTTCACATGATTATAATATTTTTTCAATTAATCATAGTATTTTAGCTACAAGCTAAATAATTTAGTTGCTTGGTTTTTGTTTGTATAGCTAGTAATTGAACTTGACTGTATTAAAATTGTAAACGTAAATTTCTTTAATAAAAAAACAGGTAAAAATTTAATACACGTGATATCTTACTGTACCCCCCCCACCCTCACCCACGTGATTTTTTGTGATTTTTGGTCAAACCCTCCCTTCCGATAAAAACCTCACGTGCTTTATGGACGCGCCCTAAGTAAAAAATAAATTATCGGAGATATTATTGTCGTTATTGCTTGCCTTGCTTGATTGCAAGTAGTCTCATTGATGGGGTAAGTTGTAACACCGTACTGTTTGAAGAAAATTATGAACTGGGAAATAATGAACAACAGTTGTGGAATTATTTTTACTTGATTCGGCAGAGGAATGGTTACAGGAACTATCCAACTTTATTTCGTAGGAATATAATCAGTGGATCTCAAGATATCCAAGATTAAACAAAAACTGTTACAATCAGCCAACTTATTATAGAATAGGGAAGTCCCTAGCTCCCCTATTCTATGAGTTGTTACTCCATTCCAATTATTTTGTAAAATTATATATTATCCGATTTTTACTAGTTTTTACCGGAATATTACGATTAATTTATTACACGCGTGCTTCGGTGATATATGATTTCATAAGTTTTCATAATTATTAGGTGGCACCGGCAAGTTTGTTGATTAGTAGTTAAACAGCGGCAAGGTGCATACACGTCATGCGGTTGTGAACGCGGATGTTAGACCATCGCCGGCCTGGACCGACGCCCGTCTCACAGTTCACAGTGTGATCTTCATACACAAATGGAATTTACTACAACCCAACACAGAACCAAAAAACAAAAAATACACTCGCATATACACGAATCGTTCGCGACGTTTTACATACGCAGGGCCGTACAGTACATACCGTTGATATTAATAATATTTTGGTCTCCTTTATTTTTACTATTTGTTTATAAACTAGTAGGGTGCATTGCATCGTGCCTTAGGACAAATTTCTGGAACTTCCCATACCAAAAGTTATTTTTTTACAAAGATTAAAATTTATTCAAAACTTTGAAAAATTTTAAGAAATTTTAAATATTCTTAAATTAATTTAATTTTTGAGAAATTTTAAATATTCGAAAAAAAATTGAATTTTTGGAAAAAATGACTTTGAAAAAAAATGTTTTCTTTATTTTGAAATATTTTGGAAATTTTGAACTTTTTTCAAATCAATCGTAATGCTTTAGTTGCATAGAGCTATCTAACGGACAAACGATGTTACGGAACTCATAGAAATATAAACAAAATTCATACTTATTATTAAAATCTCTGTAAAATATCTGATAATTTGATGTGCATATGTCTAATGATTATTTTTGACCGCCAAATGACGTTTTTTGTACTTTTTCTACTCGATCTCTGAAACCGCTAGACCTGCCTTCCCCAAAATGTAACCATGTAATCAATATTTTCAATTATTAAAATCGGACGCTCCGTTCTCTTAAAAACTGAGTTACCGTTCTTGGCTCTTTTTGCCCTCATCTTTGAAACGGATAAGCCTATACCAAAAACTAAACACCACGTCTCCTTATCAATACAAATCGAATGTTTTTTGAATTATTCAAATCGGTTGATTCGTGTGCCCGAAAACGTCGACAAAAATTTGTATCACACACATACATCATCCATATTTTCTAAGATATGCCAAAATGTTTAGAAACCAGAAACGTAAAAGTATATAAAAATTTTCATTTTCGATTCTTTTACGATTACTATAACTTACCCTACGGCAAGTAAATAAAAGTGTTTCCTGATGCTTTTCACTGTAATACCTTTTATAGTCATTAGGTCAACTAATCTTATTGTTAAAAATAAGAATAACATATTAAATATATATCCTTAAATAGTGTATGAATTCTAGAGGGAAATCATGCATTCGGTCTGCCATCAACTATCACATAATCACATTTCACCAAAATGTAAAAAATAATTTGTCTATGTAATACTCAAATAGCATAATTTCTCATTGCAATAATCAAACCAAATGCCAGCAAGCAAATAATAAAACAATAAGTAACAGAACTTGCTAATTCACACGAACGATTCATGATTTTACTGGACTATAACAATATTCTAAAAAAAATTAAAAATTATATTCTAAAAGTAAAATTTAGTAAATATGATGTCTTAACTGTAGCAGTGTATATCCGTATCCTGTTTGGATAAAAATATTTGAAATCCCGAGAATATTTCTTGTTTTACGTCATATATAAGAATTTCTAGAAAGTTCAAATCAGCAGCACAAAACAATGAGATGTGTCATGGAATAAGCAGAAAAGTTCACTTCTTGTCTTAGTTATGAGTAACATATGTTTAAATCTCTGTTCTAATTTAATTATTGCAAACATTATTTCTACAGTAAAAATTATTAAATGTTTTTATTATTTTAGTGGGCATTTATTCTTTTTTCTTGGACCAAAATAAGTCTTGCGAGTTTATATACATGTTCGAATTCAGTATTCGAAGATTATGATTTTTAAAGTACCTACATAAATTATTTTGTTCACTGAGTATATGGAATTCACATACTATAATATAAAATAAATTTAATTTATTCGTAAGATTTGGAAATTTAATGTATATATAATTTATATACTTCTATTTATAAAAATAATTCACCTGCTAAAAAGTGCATAATATATGTAAATTTCAACGAGGTATCTGAAATAGTCATCAGTAATAATAATTAATTCTATTATATAATAAATATAACGAATGTTTTTAGTAGTGTTTAATAAAATGTAAATTGTTTGATAAAATGACCAACTGAATTTTCATCTTGGCAAAGATATAAAGAATAAAAAATAGTAAATAAAATGCAAATTTAATTAAAAAAAGCAATTTTATAAGAAATAAATTTAGTTCATAGTTATGTGCTGATGAATATTTCTATTCCAGATCTA